TTCAAGAAAGGATTAAGCATGATTTAATTGGCAATAATAAATGAAAGCGTTACCTTTCTTGTAAGGCTTAGCAGCACTTAACAACTTTAAAATTGTTGATAATTCTAAAAATTTTGCATACAGATTTACTAAAGGCATAAAAACCTTAACCGGAAGATAAAAACAACATAATTCAATCATTTTCAAAACAAAAAATATACAATTTACAAACATATAAGAGTAAAGAAACTGAGATCACTGAGCCGGGTAACAGAGTGGATATACGAGTATATAAATATATTTATATACGTTTGGTGCGGCCGATTGCAACCAAAATACGAGGTGCACATCTACATGTTATAGCAGTCCTATATACAAAATTTCAATGTTCTTAGGCTACTCGTTTTTGAGTTATGCGAGATACGTACGTACGTACGTACGTACGTACGCACATACGTACATACGTTCGTACAGACGCCACGAAAAATTCTCTTCAGAATTAATTTTAAAGCAGTTTTTTAATTTTTTTTTTTTAGGAAACGAGTCTTTTATTCTGTCCTTACGTACAGATATCACGCAACAACATCGTTAAATTTCATTCGATAGCCGTCAAAATGGATATTTTCGTTGAAATATGCTGGCTGAAACTTTTCGCGATTACAATACTTCCTTTTTACTTCGTACAAGGAAGTAAAAAGCACTTTTGTAAAATTTCAGTAAGTACACAAACACTCCGTGCACCACAAATGTACAAAATGGAGTAGTAAACTAAACATTACATGCATTTAGCAAAGACAGAAGTCAAGACTATATACTAAAAACAGATAAATTTGCTAAGTTAGGTCTAGTTTTTTAAAATCATTCTGTTAAGCATAATTGAGCGCCATCAAAAGCAGGACACACACACAAAAATAATTTAAATGTTTTCTCCGAGATACTTATTTCGAATAGTTACACAAGTTGAGTGATCTGAGATTGAAACGAAATAGGATAATTTTCAAATTTGCCGAGGCCAGATAAAAATTGATATATTTTAAAATTTGTGAATATAAAAGACTCGGAAGGTGGTGTATGGTTAATAGAAGAAAAGAATTTTTAGTGTGCCCAGCATGACAAAATGAAGTATATCCTCCATTTAAGATGAAAGCTTGTTATGAAAATGGACTTCCAGCAACACTTTGGAGTACTAATACTTAAATTGATGGTTAAATTTAAAGCATCTTAAAAAACAGCTCTTTTATTTTCATAAATACCGTGAAGACCCCGCATATGTGCAAAGCCAATATTAATTCCTCTATCTCTGACAGTCACAAGTTTCGATTACCAACTGGTCTCTGTCGCAGTATTGCTCAAAAGGTTAAGAAGAATCAGAACAAATAAGATTTTTTAACATACTTATATGTAATAAAATTTGAAAATGTCTTGATGATTGGGAAATAGCTGTAATAGAATTGTAGAGGTTTATTGTGTAGATATAGTGGTGACACAGCAGACGTAAGTGGCCGAAGACAACACATAAGTTATTGCTGGACATTCTTGAGATACATATTCTCAATCACACATCATTATAGGTGCGATATTCTTCCCACAGTTTTGTATAGTTTATCGTTTATGGACTTTTATGCCTTAAACCACAAAGCTTTATGATCTCAAAACCATCGACTGAATGAAGCCTTAATGGCATCTTACTGCATCTCGGACTTGTCACGTCCGCACTGATTTCAGAACTCAGTTTAGTAACGTGGGGCTGAATGGCTAATGGTAGATAACAAAACACATCACGTTTTAATACTTTTATTTATAGTCTGTTAACGAACGAAAATAGTATCAATTTATAATATTCTTACTATAATTCGGCTCAAGCTAACACCTGACAACACGTCAGAAGGATCCAATTACAACTTCTCTCTCCGTCCTTTTAAATTAACCATACACATTGACCATTCTTGAGTATCTAACTTCTTCGTATGAGTATATTGAAAACATGAGACATTGCACCCAGAACTTGCGTGTTTAATTAGCATCAGTTTTTTCCTACAGTATGTATGATCAAATTCGGATTGAAGTCAATATTTAATTCCTAAGCAATGCTCAATTCAAAATGTCAGAAATAGAATTTTTAAAATTAAGAATAACTGGAATAATATTTTTCTTGACCTATTTGGTTTAAAAGCTATTTATCGTTACTCACTTAATTAAAAGCCAAAAGACAGACTTCTTCGAATGCATTTCAATACAACTGATTATTTTCTTTATTAAAAATAATACATCAACTTAAATTTAAAAACTAGAGAAGTTGATTGCTTTGGAAAAATTTCGCTTATTGCAAAATTTGCAATAATGACGCATTTCGATTTTAGCACCGTTTATATGAGAAAAAGGGTGTATTTTAAATCGAAAAAATAATGCATGCAGATTTATAATAATACATTAGTTTCTTAATGATTTGTAAAAGTAAATGCATCAGTAAAAAGTAAATGCAAATTGTCTCTTATTTCTGTTTTTTGCATATTACGAAAAAATAGGTGCAACTGTATAAAATTTTCAAATTTTAATATTTAAAGATTCTTATTTGATTTACTGTTATTTAAAAAATTCAAATTAAAATAAATTCAAATTAAATTTTGTAAAGGGGTTCTAAAAATAATTTCATTTATATGTGAAAAATTTATTATTTTAAAAGAATATAGCACGCGAATCTTTAAATCTAAATCGTTTAATTTAATATCTTATTTAAAGTTTTCATTTTAAATCTAAGCTGTAGTCACTATTAATGCATAATTAAATATTTAAAATGATCAAAAGAGAAAAAGAACAAGCCAAAAAAATGATTTTCAATTTGAAATGAAACATGAAGATAAAAATTTAAGCTCATTTTTAATTGAAAGAGCTTTGTGAAAAGAAAATGTTCACAAATATAAAATATTTACAATGTTTATTTTGTGCAAAGAAAATTATTATATTATTAATTAATTTTGGTAAAGCATTCGGACGCAACTAAAAATCCACTTAACATATATAAAAATATCTGATGTGGAAACCACACAACTTCCTTATATGGCCTATTATACATATTTTTCTTACACTTCATTTAAATTATTTTCTGGAATTTTATTAGAGCTATATTTTTCATTCAATCAATTCAGGTCTCACTTCGCGGGAAGGCAAAAATGTATAAAAACTTAAAACTTCTTCATTAAAAATTTAAAATACAGAAAATCCTAAAACACCAAATACATCACAAAAATGAAGACAAGGAAATGTCAGAAACATGACGTCAAAACTTATCCGCCATACAGCGTACGTTTAAGACTACGAAACATAGTGTTAAACAAAATTACACTGAATATGAAAGCAAATATTTAGAGGCTGAGAAAAATGTCTTATTACTTGCATTGATCTGCTTTTGAAACTTCCAGTGATCTTCCAGGTTTTACCATATAATACATTTGTGTTATAGGTACCATTTACACATTTGTGTGTACCTAGATTTTATTAAATTTGAAAGAGTTATTTACAATCCTTGTGATTTTTCGATATACAAAGCAGAAATTTCTTTTTATATTAAGCAATAAAATTAAAACAGGAGTCTTATAAACGTTCACTGATGAATAGCTAACATGTAGCCAACGCCGATTAGAATGTAAACAAAACTAAGAAGTCCCTTTATGGCAGAGGACAAGATGAGTCGTGACGTCATACCATGACGTTTCATGGCTTTCATTCACTGGCAGTTCTGTCAATTTCGAATCCCGGAAACGGACAGGCTGCATGGTTGTTTTCGTGGTTTTCCCCATGTGTAACATTTATACGAGCCAGTTTACCTTAGAAAGTCCTCCACGAAGGTATCCCTCCCTTCGGCAGATAGCCCTCTGGCTTTGCCGTAATTACATAAACCAAACCTACTTCTATTAGGTGGCCGCAGGCCACGAGGTACGAATTCCCGAACCGGAGCCCTAACCCAGATTAATAAATATGCGATGCGTAACCTGTAAATAGCATTCTGAGGGTGTAAATAGCATTTTAAATAAAAAATAAAAAATAGTTCCAGTGTGGCGAGGAGTAGGGCGAATCATTCTACTTCCTGACAGGGAAAGGAAATTATTTCATTAGTGGGAGGAGCGAAACAACTTCATACGGGAATGAATGTAGTGTGATGTATTGAGCAAAGTAGTAATGAAATGTGAAAGTATTTAGAAATCTAAAAGCATTGGCAAGAGTGCGCTCATTGTCGACTTAATGTCATGTCGGCTAAGTGTCCGTGTCGGTTAAATGTTCTGTCGGCTAATTGTTCTTGTCGGCTAAACGTCCTGTCGGCTAAATGTCCTGTCGGCTATGTGTCCATGTCGGTTAAATGCACTGTCGGCTAAGTGTCCCTGTCGGCCAAATGTCTTGTCGGCTAACTGGTGTTGGTTAAGTGTCCCGTCGGCTAAGTGGTTGTCGGCTAAGTTACCGGGAACATACGGAGAATGCTTACTCCATTTATTCTTATTTCTATGGGCCACACTACTAGAAGCTTCAAATGTAAACAAATAAGCCGTCACATTAGGCCTTGCGACTCTTAAACTTTTAACACCTCTCAAAAATAAAACACTCCAAAACATTCATAGTTAATTATTGAAAACGTAATCGACTTAGATTATCATTGCTGTATTTGATAAACAAGTTTTATATTAATTACTCATGCTGTTTGAGTGAATGTTTTGTATATTTACTAAATGAGAAATTTATTCTGAAAAATAGTTCAAAGCTCGTTTTTAATAAGTAGCTCATGACTGATATTTAATTACTGAAAGAAGATCCTAGTTTGAGGAATAATTAAAAAAATTATTAACCCATTAAGCGCTTTTTTAATTATAAAATGTTTAGTATTTATCATGTTGTATTTGTCTTCACTGCGAAATCAAGTACTATTTTTGCATTTATATTTACCCGTTTTGAAAATTCTTGTTTTCCTTTTCTAGTTTGTTATATGTATGTTATGACTATGTTAGGAATGATAAGCATAACTTCTTTTTCAGCATCATCTTGGGGTTTGCACAGACAAGGCCATTGTCAAGCAGGCTTTTCGGCAGCTTTGACGGAGGTAACTAGATTTAAAATAAATAACATTAACATTATTTGATCATCTGAGACAGCAAAGAAAAACAAATTGTATTATCGCCTTTGTATATTCAGAAATGCTGTCAAAATTAAACGTGTATAAAATACAGTATTCAAATTTTATAAATCAATAATTAAGGAATATTTACCATTCTTTGTTTCAGCCGCCAAAATTATGCGGATAATTTGTGTTCCTTACAGTATCTTATTTTAAATTTCGATATTTTAATGCAGAATTTAACTTAATTATACAAGAGCTGCGAGTTTTACGTTGTAAGAAGACGTCCTTTCAAATTGGAAGACATTGGTCGATTTGTATGAAAACTTCCTTAGGACTTCACTAGATGGCGCCACGACTCAATAGTGTATGTCCACAATAAAATTTCAAGTATTAAACGAGCGTAACGTAACTTTATTTCACATGAGTAAGAGAGCAGAAAAGTTGCGTCATATTTTGACACTTGACCGCGATTTTCCAATAAAGTATATAATTTAGAAATTCATGCATGCAGTTACGATGTAATTTCTTCTTGAATTTCTTCTTTGAACATCAGAGACTACAGCTTTAAAAAGAGGCTTAGATATTCAAAATAAAAATAACATGGCTGTCTTAGCACTCAAAAAAACTTGCGTACAAACAAATATACTGATAGCCTATAAAATTAATCAAAACCTTCCATTTTTGCGTGTATAAATACAAAATATTTAACGATAACAATCAGTAAATAATGCATTATTTAAATTTTAATGAATGAACTGCTCATCAAATCCAGTTAGTATTAGTATTACTTTAAATCAGTCTTTACAGGAAATAATACGCGCTAATTTGATTTCATTAATGTAAATAAATACTTTGAATATCTACTTAAATTATGCTATACATTTTATTTCAATAATATGTTGGCATAGCCATCTGTTACTTCCATTCTTTACTTCGTACAAGGAAGTAATTAGTTTTTTAATATTTTTTCGAATTTTATCAATTGGAATTTTTAAATAAAAAAATCTGATGTGTACCCACATGACTTCCTGTACGGAATATTAAATTATACGCACTTTTTCTTACATTCTTTAAACTTATGGATTGAATTAAAACTACTCGCCGACAGCGCATAACACATAGAAATAAATGCATTCTTTAAAATTCACTCTAGTATTTGGTTTACCATAGCGACACTCTGGCGCTAGATTCACTTAACAATATTAATAATTATATAACAGTTAACTTATATAATAATTTATATAACGGAAACTAAGTTAACTGTTATATAATCCAATATTATATAACAGTTACATATATATTTCGTTCATATTATAACTCATAATGCACAAAATTTATATCATTTAAAGAATAGAATTATCAATCGTTGCGACATGTTCTATTCAAATACAATAATAAGCTAGAATGTACAAAAGAAATTAAGCAAACAAAACAAAAAGGAACAGTTTTTCACAGACGATTGAGTATTTCTCATTTTATTAATTCAGTTCACACTTCGCGAGAAGGCAAAAATACATCAAAGCTCAAAATATCTATATTAAAATTACGAAGTACATCTAAACACTATTTCCTCGAAAAAATTCCGAAAGAATAAGCATGATTTAATTGGCAATAATAAATGAATGCGTTATCTTTGTTGTTGCGAAGCTAAGTTTCTCTAGATGGCATCAAATCACTAGTCTCCTGTTTCAAATGTAAACATCAATGGCCGCCATAAAAAAAGGGCTTAGCGGCACTCAGAGAACTTTAAAATTGGTTGATATTCTAAAAATATTGCATACAGATTTACCAAGGCATAAAACCTTAACCGGAAAATTAAAACAACATAATACAATCATATTTAAAGCAAAAAATGTACAATTTACAAACATATAAGAGTAAAGAAACTGAGATCACTGAGCCGGGTAACTGAGTGGATATAAATATATTTATATACGTTTGGTGCATCCGATTGTAACCAAAATAACGAGGTGCCGTCTACATGCTATAGCAGTCCTATATACAAATTTCAACGTTCTGAGGCTACTCGTTTTTGAGTTATGCGAGATACGTACGTACATACGTACGTACGTACATACGTTCCAGACGCCAAAAATTCTCTTCAGAATCATTTTAAAGCATTTTAATTTTTTGAAGGAAAGAGTATTTTATTCTGTCCTTACGTACAGATATCACGCAAAACATCATTAAATTGCATTCGATAGCGGTCAAAATGATATTTTCGTTGAAATATGCTGCCTGAAACTTTTCGCGATTACAATACTTCCTTTTTACTTCGTACAAGGAAGTAAAAACTTCTCATTAAAAAAACTTAATAACTACGAATATCTCTTCAAAATTTAAAATATACATGCTTTGCATCTTAACAAATGACAGCTTTAGAAATTATAATACATAAAAAAATGTAATATTTATGCTTTTATTTTCGCATTTATTTCTTTCTAGAGTGGAAGGCAGTTGTTTGTTGGAGCTCCTGGAAGTTGGTATTTGCAAGGTAGGGCAATTTATAACTTGATCAGTTGTAAAAATAAAACTGAAAAATATTTAAAATAGCTTGAAGTAAAATTATTTCTACATTTTATTTTTACTTTCCCCTTTTTAATATGGGCTGCTCCAAAAGCATTTCAAACTGTACGAGAAAAAAAAAAAAAAAAAAAAAAAGTTCAAATCGTCTTATACTTATTTTTGATTGAAAAATATGGACAAATTTACATGATGGTATTTAAATAACGCTATCTTGCTGTTATCTCCTTGACTTACTATGTCTCAATATTTGCTCCTGGATACCAGCAATATTTTCTGATGTTAGAACATCTAAAGGTCGACTTTCACGAAACTCTTATCTACGGATAATCGACCTATGCGAAATTTTAATATTTATTCTTTCCATATAGAAGACGAATCAAAATCGCAGAAGACAAATCGAAATCGCATGATACAAACATTGATTTTTTTTTTTTTTTTTTTTTTTTTTTTTTTTTTTTTTTTGGTGGGAAGGGGATAAAGACCTTATTCAGTCAAAAATTTAACAGCAGATTGATACTCAGGTTTAAATATTTCAGATTAAACTAGAACATCACTTTATTCAATAAACAGTCAAACAAAAACGCATATGATTTCGCTAACGAATATCCAGATTTATTTATTTAGCAGTGTTACTTAATAATTACAAGAAGAATTTATAGCTAAAAATATTATGTGAAGCCGGATCCTTTACGATATAGCTAGGAAAAAGAAAAGCACTCAAGTTTGTTTATAATGTAACACACACTAAAATCTACTGAAAAATACACTAAACACGAATATTCGCGTCACTTATGACCTAAAATTCGGAAATTTCGTCAGATTTGTGTGATTTATTCTTACGAACAGATTCGTCTATTATAAGAAATTCCTCTTTAAGTAAACTTTCTAATTCCCATATTATTATCTGAACACTTTTTGAATCCTCTTGTATAACAATAAAGGCTGAATATCAACTAGTATTACTTTCAGTAATAAACAACACACTACGATGAAAATTCTAATAAAAGTATTCAAATTTTCAGTGTGCATGAATTTATTGTTCTGTAAGAACTAAATTACTAGGCTTTTTTCGAAAACTGTAGCGTCAATTCATTGTGTTGGAACTGCTTGATTTTCGTTGAGTGTTGCAGAACAGCAGTTTTTTTTTCCACTCTCAAGTTATGATTGAGTCTTTTTTAAATTGAATTGAATCTTCGATGTCTTTTTTAAATACTATATTTGCTCTACGTAAGCAGAAAGAGGCCTCTCGCACTGTAATAACTTAATCCGGGTATTTCGCAATCAACGAATTACAAGGCTCCAGAATATGTGCCGAGAAATTTTCGGAACTTTCCTACCTATTTTAAGCCATTCGAAAAAGCTTTATACTACTACTGTATAGTATACATTTAACTAAGTTATTTTGAAAAATTCTAAGTGGTAATTATTTGTAAAAATGCCAGTAATTAACGATAATTGACGATAAAACGAGCCGTAATATTTCCGTGCACTTTTTCGCATTTTTTTTAGATATCGACGATCAACGAAAGAAAAACGTGCGAATTTTTTCGCAGTTATAGCTAATACCGTAATAATTCTTACACATTATCTTGTTTATCAGGAGAAAGGATTTCATAACACATTTAATACTATAAAATTTAACGTAAAATTCCAAACCATTTGAAACTTTTCTCAAAAACTAACATGAAAACCGTTTTTCCTACGTGCGAGTTCTCTAAAATGTAATAAATGACCTAAAAATGAGTAGTTTGAATGCTAGTACGCTTTCTATATGAACCGAATAAAAATCGTTAAATAGAACAATTATTTGACAGTTCGCAATATTAAAAACAAAATCTTTACCAATTCATAATTTATTTGTGATTGCATTGACTTATTAGGATTATAACAAAGCGGATTAGGGATGTCTGCTTAACGGAGGAGTTGCCTACGTGGAAGACTTTCTAATGGAAACTGGCGCATATTCACATTTCTTATACGGAAAAATCCCCAAAACGCCCATGAACAGTACAATTCCAATTATCCGAACTCCGACTAACCGAATCGCTGATTATACGAACCGCTTTCAGAATTTCAGAATCAACTGAAGAAGAGAAAGAAAAGGAGGAAAAGGAAAAAGAAGCTCAAGAAAAGGAAAGGGAAGAGACAGGAGAAGATTAGGACGACGTGTCACTTTAATTAAGAAACTTTCTTTTTAAATTTCTTGGATATTCAGAAAGTTCTGAGGATACAACAGAATGGATGCTGTGGGATTCGTCAGATCCTGGGTTTCAAATTCTAAATGATGATGGACTGATTGAACGTGTGAGAGAAGAAAATGTAGAGGAAGAAGATGACCTTAATGTCGAAGTTGAAGCAGACACGGGACCATCAGATCAGTTAGCGAAGCGTTTGCTGGCTTTGAAACTGCGTTGAAGTGGATGGAGCGTCAGCCCCATGTGACCACATGCAATTTCTCATTTTGTCAAGCGGATGCGCGATTTGGCTGCCCGAAAATGGATGATGACAGTCAAACAGCTTACTTTGACTGAGATGTTCAGCAAGCAATGACTTTCGGCATTTGTAAGTACTGTACAGTAAGCTATATAACAAGTACGTAAAAAAGTGTAGCTTTTTCCTTTTAATTAATTAAACCCCTATTCATTTAAAAAATAGTTTTTTCTCCCATTTTCAACATACAGTAATTAATTTAAGTGTGCGTAGACCCTTTCTTCGGAGAAAATCGAGTTATCCGAATGGGGGCGGGTCCCAATTCGGATAATTGGAGTTTTACTGTAGTCAGTCCGTTTGTCGAGATTATCCAAATTCGGGTTTAGCAACCCATAATTAGCAATCATACGACTCAGCTATTAAGGGCTTCCAATCTTCTTGGGGTGCATCTTTTGCAAGCTCAAAGGCGCGAAATCAGACATGTAATCATTTTAAGCATCTTGCCAGTTTAAATCATAATCTACATCTCAAATTTTTCCTGACTTGTTATCCAGGAAATCAACGTTCGTATATGACAGGATCATATTTTCGATTGAAATGAATAATTACCAATGAGTTTTGAATCGTAAAAAGCGACTTTTGTTTTTCTTACAGACTAAAATATTGTTGCTTTTTGCGTGTTGAAGTAAAAATTTGTTCATGTATATCAGGTGGCAAAAGTTTGTTTTCTTGTTTTCTAAGTCCCGGTGTTTCTCTTGCTAGGTCAAGTATACTCACGTGATCTTATTTCAAATACAGAGGATAGAAAAACAAAAGAATCTCCTGGAGAATACGATGACAGTTATCTAGGTAAATATACGACTGATAGACTTGTTTATTGAATTCAACAATGAAGCCAAATTGTCTCAGTTGTTTAATAATGATTCTATATGTGATGTATTCCTAGGCTATTCCTTAGCTGCAGGCAAGTTCACTGCCGACGGTGACACAGGGGTAGTAGTCGGCATGCCTCGTGGAAATAATCTTAGTGGGCAGGTAAGTAATAATTGAAGAATTAATTTCTAAAATATTATATATCCTCCGAGTCTTCACACCAGAATTTCTAATCTAAACCTACCATTTAATTAAGAAAGCTATTTTTACTCGTAATATGTAGGTGATAACAGCAATACATGACTTTAAGATATAAACTTTAAATAAAAAATATAAACCCAGGCTTTAAAATATAAACATTAATTAAAATTCTTAAAATATAATCCTTCAGAAATAAACACACTGCTGGATATGGTTCGTATCAAATGACGCATGTCTATTAGAGATGGGAAAAATCGCTCATTTAAGTGATCCGATCGGAACTATTCGCTGGCCGAAATCAATCTGTTCTTTTTTATAACTCACCGCTTATTAATAATAATCTTAATTAAGAGATCCGAAACAACGAGGGAATCAGAAGCGGTTAACGAGGATGGAGCAAAGAATGGATCAGGAGCGGTTAGCGAGGATGGAGCGAAGGATGGAAAGGAATCGAACGAGCAGTGAGATCGGGACCGGTCAGCGATGTTGGAGCGAAGAAATCGAAAAGAATCAAACAGGATTGAGACCGGAAGAATTAACTCAATCAAACACTAATTCCCTTAACTGATTTCTTTCAACTATAGTTTAAAATTCTCTAAAAACTCCGTTCTACATAAAACTAACAATAAATTCTACTATAATTTTTAAATGTTGGGAAATGATAAAAATTAAATTCGCTTTTTAACATGGGAAGATAAGCATTCTTTTCTCCTCTAAAACGGAAAATTAACTTTCCTGAAACACTTCCAATAAGAGCTCTTCGTCTTTTTCCAATTAGGCGTAAGTGTGAAGGGAATCAATTCGTGAATGAATAGCAGATCTCTATTCCTGGCAAGTTTCCAACAAAAGCTAGCTCTTCGTGAATTGTAAAACAGCTGTAACTCCATTTTATGGAATCTGATTAAATTCACTCAATTGAATAGATATCAATTGAATAGATTCTTTGAATCAGTTTCGGAGCGGCTCGTCCAGCTCTAGCGTATATCTAAAATTACATGCAATTCACAAGATTCTGGAGTAAAACACTTAAACGGCAGAGAGATTACTATTCAAGCGTTATTTTTACAGAAGAATATTATGAAGACAAAACATCGGATGCAAATTTTAAATTCTTTATACCGTATTTACTGGCGTATAAGACGCATCCCCTTTTTTATACACATTTTTGAAAGATAAAACTTTTATTACTGATTATTATAATGAATTTACAGTATTTTAAACATAAAGTAACAAAACAAAGTAATACTTTCTGCAAATCTCCATCCATCTGGGAAAAGAACCTTTTCCTTTCTCACAAAACCCAGACACTATCTCCAGAGCTAATGCGTCACTTGAAAACGTTTCTAAACAGCATGAGTCTTCATGCAACAAATTGATTCTTTGCATACAGGCAACTTCTTAATGAGTTAACCAGCACTGTTCACAGCATCCCATGAAGTTTGACCATTCATAACGACGTATCGAGCATAGTATCGCCGTATAGACGCAAGTATCAGTATCAGACATTTCAAAGAAAAAAGTGAGTCTACGCAGTCAAATGCAGAATTCTATAATATCTCTGTTAATATAATATATATATATATATATATAGAGAATAATAATTAGCCGCCAAGCGTAAAGCGGACGCGTCGGAAACGGGAAATGGAAGCGAATGAATTTAAATTCCAAGAAAAAATTTAAAAAATTTTTCCAGTTTCTGTTTTTCGCGCGAACGCGTAATGGGTTAGCTTGATTCGACGGAAATTGCCCTTGAAAGCCTTTGGAAGTCGAATTGGCTAATTTACCATTTCCGCTACTTTAACTTTTCTGTTTTTAATTTTATTAATGTTTTACAGGTCTAATGATTGATTTTCATGTGTATTAATTTTTGAAAACGTTAAACCTTTGGAGCAGCAGCTTGGTAACTTTAGGCGAGTTACTACAATTTTATATCTAGATATTATATATATATATACATAATTTAAAATATTTTTTTATTTACTATCGTTAATGTTATTCTTAAAATTATGTAATATAAATGATGTTTAATCATTATTATTACTTTTCCTTATACGGTGCATGAGTAATTTTATTATACAGAAACCTATTCTGTATTTGTAACACTTTATAAAATCGTGTGAAATATTTGAAGTACTCTTTAAATTAATTTGTGTAACAATTCCATACACGAAACACGCATTTTTGTTAATATTATTTACTATTGCCGTATACAAGTTATTTAATTAAAAATTTGTTAAGCTATATCAAGTAATTTCTGAGCGAGTTTTATTTGAATTATTTTTAGGTAGTAATTTTTGATTCGTTGCTAAACATTATACAAAATATTAGTGGAGATCAAATGGGCTCTTATTATGGATACGCTGTTTGTGTGTCGGATGTAAATGGAGATGGGTAAGTAAAATACTATTTTCCATTTCTTTATCATAAAACTTTTTTTTTGAAAGGCAATAAAAACTGTAAAGTGATTTATGTTTTTTTTTCCTTAACGATAAATCTCCTAATATCTATGAATACTATATTTTACGATTACTAAAACAAGCAAATTATAAGTACAGATTTAGTTTAGGCAAAGCAAACGAGACGTTATCTGGCTACACTATATATTGAGGTTTTGGCCGACAGCACCCAAGGGGTGGTATCTGAGAATATCGTACTCCTCTTTTCTCAACTACAACTTCTACAGGGAATTTTCCGAGAGATGAATTTTAAGTGTCCCTTCCCAATTAAGTAAAGGCCTGCCTGGGATCAAAAAATATTCGCAGTCAGCCTCTGTAATGCACAGTCCGAAATGTCAATTCTGAGAAACGCTGATAACGATATTCGCTTTCAAACATTACTAAAAGTAACAGAATAATGAAAGTTCAATAAATATTGCTGTTCATCTATTCCAGAAATTTTTAACACCTCCAAAAATTCAGTTTTTTTTTTTTTTTTTAATTAAAGCAATATTATTAGGTCTAATATTATTAGATTACTAATGTTAATATTATTAAGTATAATCAGAGCAGTTAGAATATGAAATTATTTACCTTATATTTTGAACTAAAATACATGGAGTAAGGTATTTAAAATTTACTTGAATTTTACTTCTGTGTGATAGCCATTATAGCTCCTGTGTATTAGCTACTATAGCTGTGTAACAGCTACACAAGAACGTAAATTATTCTAATGATCGATTATCAAAGCCTGGTTAAAACATTTTCAGATAAATTTCGGTGAAAATTTCGAAAACGCTTAAATGATACACTAGTGTGTGAGCATAAAAATGCTCTGAAGAAGTCCTATCTGACGTTATTTAAAACTTGATTATTTTTCCTTGGATCTTGATTATTTTTCATTTAATTTCTTGTAGTTATTCTTCGTGCGTTTACATATTCCACTATGCTTTTGCATACCTCAAATTCGAGGCTTTTATTTAGTTTTTAAACTTAAAACAAAATAATGCCATTTTCTGAGTATGTTATTTCTAATTATGACACCTAAATACAAAAGAATTATGTTATCAATTAATGAAAGGTTAACACAAATTAGTTAGTTAACTCAGTGGAATGGCAAATGCGTTTCTGCTGAACGAGATGTGTGAAATGTAAGAAAATTAACAGTTATTGTATTATAATTTTCTGCTGGATTAAAAAAAAAGAAGGTTATTTAATGCCTAAATAGCATAATGCCCGAAAATAAATTTCTGCTCAAATAAATAATGGAATGCTTCTGAATGAAAATGTAATATTTTGCCTGAAATTGTGAAATACGGTTGTTTTGGTTTTATGGCGCAAAATTTCATTCGATTTTTTTTTTCTGCGGTAGTTAAAGGATTTATAAAGCTCTTTAAGCTCCCTTTTAGAGCTTATAAAGCTCCCTTTTAGAGCAACCAACTATTTGGAACAGTTTTCTACCAGATATACCAATGAAAGAAAATGTACAAATTTTTTGTCCCTTCCACAAAATTTGATGGTATTTAGACTTTCAAAGAATTAGCAATCAGGATCAAAACTTGATGGCTACAATTTTTATTGGTTATTTCTTGACATTTATATGGTAACCCTAACGGTTCACATAGGTTGTCTGGTGTGCGTCATGTAGCGAAACGCACAAATTGTGCAAACGCGTTTTTCTTCTTGTTATAAGTGATATAAGGAGGCTGACCATATTTTCGTGAGACAAAACTGAGCATCGGAATGACATAAACTGGTTAATCATGAAAAAAATGTAAAACGTTTTCCAACATAAGCATAGCCAGCTTACCATTATTCTCTAATAACAAAACGCTCATAAATTTCTAAATACACTCTTCAGGATTGACTACATTTTCCCCACGAGTGTACCTTTATTCATGGTACAATCCTTCATCAGAGAAGCTAACTTTTCTGGCGAAGTTAGCTTACTTAGCAAATTTCAATCGTCCATCAAGATATCATAAAGTTATCAAATTCTCTTTGATAATTTAAATCTAGGTATCGTTTACTCATTTCAGAGGGGAAAAAGTTGCACCTAAAAATTTATTTCTAATACAGCAATGTTCTTTCACACATTTACAGATTTTATTGAAGGGTAGAGTTACAGATTTTATTGAAGAATATGATGATTTTCTCAGATAAATTGTCCTGCATTGCCATTCAGATGCCTTTCTTAGTAGAATATATTAATGTTTCTCAAACTCTTCTTCCATTTGTGGTGTATTTTAAGTCGGTTTCATAGAAATTCTCAACTACCTCAAAAATCTTAACTTCATCAATTTACTCTTGTTCTAATAGGGTTTATAATTATTTTCTAATATCAGCAGTAACAAATATTTCAGTGTGTCTGCACTCTGAATTATATATATGATTTATAGCTGAAATATTGTTTTTTCAATTAAGGAAATTTATGTATCAGATACAGGCATTTAAACTCATGCAGACAACAGCCATATTTCATAAGCAACGGTCTTCAAACATTTCTCTCAGTATAACAAATTATCGAATTATTTTGATGAATTTACATGTATTATTTATGAAGATGTAAGACTTTTACTTTCTTCTTTAATCTTTTTTTAAAATTTATTTATTGAAGTTTGGATGACATAGTGGTTGGTGCACCTCTATATACTGATCTGCAGTCAAAAGAAAGCAAGTATGAAGAAGGAAGTGTTTATGTACATTATCAGAATGCTGAGGTAATACAATAAAACATTATCACATACTACATCAAACTATCTTAGCACTAAAAATCGCTAAACCTTTAATATTAAAGAGTGTATTTTTGTAGTTAATTTTGAGTGTTAAATTACTAAATTGCCTTTTCTTTATTAGCATATATTCGACGAAGATAATAAGAGTGTGCTAAATGGCACTTACACAAGGGGTCGCTTTGGACTAGCCTTGGCATCCCTCAAGGACATCAACAGAGACGGTTATGAAGGTATGTCTGCATAGTTAAGGAAAATATTGCGATGAGTGGAGAAAAACAAAATTAAAAAGAAACAGTTTGTTTTTGAATTTCGTGCGTATTTTGGTTTACTTCATTTGAATACGATGAACGGAATCTTTTTCCTTACTTAACTGGTTATTCAGGTCTGAGATATCGACTGTAGTACATTATCAGCTTAGCTGCAAAATGAAGATATTATGATTTTCACGACATTACCAATTCTTTCCTTAACATTGATGAGCAAATATGACTAAAATTTCATTGGAAATAAAATTTAATGAAAAGGAAAAAATCGCCACTTACTTCAAATGTCGCGTATTCCTGTTTAAAATCCTATTTAAAATTCCCTCTTTCTCAATCATATAAACTTTATGTTTGGTAATTTTCTGATAACGGGGCATCAGATGCCAAACGTGGTAGCCTGTTTGTATCACATCATGAACAACTCAGCAATTTTAATGTGCGCAGTGCCGAATTTGTACAGTTGATCGATGTTTTTTTAAGCGAAAACATCAGAGAATTTCACAATTCGACATCGCGCACATTATATACCATACATTACTATTATTACGATTTCATTTTTCCCCATGAATGAAGCTTTACGTATCGTTAGGGTTATCGACATCTAGTTAAATTTAGCACCAACTTTTATGTTTAGTGTTAAGGCGCCTCGTTAACAGAAAAGTGTCTTACTTTTACATAACATAAAAATTCCATCTTTTTCATTCGCATAGAATTTGCATTTTAAAAAGCAGTTTTGTTATCAACAGAAAATGCAAACCCCTTCTCTTTGTTTACAGATATAGTGGGCTCTCGATTAATCGGAATGACATCAACGTTTAACTTAAACTCGCGGCACCTGACAGCATTTAAAGAACAGAAAAGAAGATTAACTAGTATTACAATTTACAAAAAAAAAAAAAAAAAAATTATATTTTTAAGCGGTTTAACGTGGAATATACGAGGCGTATTCAAAAATAAGTCGTTTAAAAAAAAAAAAAAAAAAAAAAAAAAATCTGAAATGTTTCAGATTTTAAATTACGTCCAAAGGGGCGTTTTTTTAACATTTTTTGTTACCTTTCTTTATTAAATATCATGTTCCTCGCACTTAAACCATAAGATCCATGCAACAGCAATATCGCAAAATAGTTTTAAAACGAGCAATCTTTGAATTTCCGATACAGAGACTCACGCGCTGGAGATAAAAATGTTTTCTGCACAACGTTTGCCATTGCTCGCTTTGAAATCCTTGAGTTTGTTAATCAAAAATTCGTCAAAGTTTTAAAAAATAGGAAATCGATCATAAAACAAATTTCAAATTTCAAATTTGGTCTTCCCATGCTCATATTCGTGGAGGATTACGTTATTCAAAATTCGATGACTCTATGTACCGTTTTTATCACAATACGAAAATATACAACATTTATGCAGATTTTTCATATTTAATTTCTTCAAAAATAATCGGACTTAACATTTGTGGCAAACAGTGAAAAGTGAACCGACATTTATAGTCCGACGCAAAATGCCAAAACGAAATAAGTCCTCGGGAATCAAAAAAAAAAAAAAAAAAAAAAAAAAAAAAAAAAAAAAAAAAAAAATTAGTAAATTTTTTTCGAATCCAATTTTATTTTAACATGAAAATACATGTTAAACATTTTTCAACATAGTTTCCGCCAATATCAAACACTTGTCATGCGGGTGCCATTTTTGTATACCTTCGTCAAAGAAAATTCCCGCCAGCTTCGATAACAACGAATCCACAGCGTTTTTCGTGTCATCGTCAGATCCAAAGCGCTTGCACCCAAGCTCGCGCTTCATGTGCAGGAACAATTGATAGTCGACGGCGCCAAGTCCGGCTGTACGGCGGGGGATCGAACTGCCCCATGAAACTGTCGAATTAACGATTGAGTGACACCAGCAGTATGGGGCCGAGCATTGTCAGGGAGCAACACAATTCCTTTTTTACTGAGCATTCCTCTTCGTTTGTTTTGAATGGCCACGCCTTAGTTTTGTTAAAAAGTCTCACAATATCGTGCCGCAGTAATGGTTTCAGCTCGGGAAGAAAATTCAGTAGCAATGCCTTTCCTATCCCAGAAGACAGTGCACATGATTTTTGTGATGACATTGTACTTTGAACTTGTTTTTTTTCGGAGAATGAGGTGTCTCCACTCCATCGATTGTTGTTTCAGATTCTGTGTGAAATGACACACCCAAGTTTCATCACCTGTCACAATTGGTTTAAAAAGTTTCTCCTCATCACTGTACCGCTTGAGAAATGTCAGGCACTACCAAGTCGCTTGTTTTGTGAACATCAGTGAGCATTTTTGGAACCCATCGGGAACACAGTTTGCGATAATTCAAGCGGTCAGACACAATTTCGAACAAAAGTACGTGAAATTTGTGGAAATGCGTCTGAAAGAGTTGTATTGGGAGGGTCTGTTCTCATGAATTGCTTCATCAACTTTCCTACCAAATCATCGGTGACAACAAAGGCCGACCACTCCGAGCCTCGGCGTGGACTTTGTTCACCTGCATTAAACATTCTTACCCACTTCTCACCATTCCCATCACTTATCGCGTATTCACCGTAAACGTCTGTCACTTGACGATAAATTTCGGCGGGTTTAAATTCCTCGCGTTCAAAAATTTAATCACGGCACGAATCTCACAGTCAACGGGAGAACTAATTGTCTTAAACATTTTGAATGTGCACAGCAAACAAAACACAAACATAGAGTAACCAAAATGGCGACAATTGAAAGTCAGTGAACAAGAAAGACTAGTGCGCATGCGCGGGACGCCTACCACAGCGCTGCGACCGCGCTAGAATGAAACGGTACTTAGTTTCCGAATACGCTACGTAAGATCATTTGGTTACATAAATTGAATCGATAACTGAAACAAGAATTTAACTTCAAAGTAAAAAAAAGCAGTGTTTTTACTTTGTATTTCCTTAAGAGTTAATGGGAAACAAAAGCTGTATATTTCCTTCATTTCCTCCACCCTTTTAGCAATTTATTTTTAAGGGATGATGTAACAATGTTTTTACATTCCACAATATGTGCAATTAAATTGCGTACTGTTGTAGATAAAACGAAATTTTTAAGTACTGTGACAGCATATTTTTTGCTAGTATCACTGCTATTATCTCAGACATTTTCTTCTCCTTTTTTCATTTCGAAAAGAAATTTTGCGTTATTCTTATTGTTTGTGATAAGGACTTTTCCAGTATTCTGCTATAATCAGATTTGACCTTTTTAAACAGGGCTGGATTAATTGGGAGTTGATTGTAGTTTTACTGAAAATCGCTAATAAAAAGTAATACAGTTTCATCATCTCCTCCGAAACGGCGGGGAGTTGAGATTCGAGAGAGGTACCCCGGATTCCAAAAATTCGTGAGAATGCACTTCGACCATTCTCATCTTCATTCGATTTCAGCCGAGATATTAATTAAAAACTCTGAAAACTCTAATTTTCGCACTCATTTTTTTCGAGTGGCAACGGTCTCGCTCGCTGGAACCTGACGTTGAAGAAAGCACGCGACTGCATGTGACGTCATTGTAATATGTCGAAAATTTTTCGTTAATGTCGCATTTAAATAAACTTTTGGCAGTTCGGTTTCGAGGGTCGGTAAAAAATCGCCAAACTATTTGAGCCAGTGCTGCCAAAAATAATTGCGGCAAACCCTAATAGAAGAAAGGAAGTATAATCTAAATAACTTTAAAGATTGATGTTTAATTTAGATGAAATGTTAATTTCGTAGAATACTTTTTTATTATTATAATTATATATAAAAAAGGTTAAACATGACTGAATGGAAGCGTTGAGTAAATAACTATTTCAGATCATTTTTAGATTTTTATAAAAAATGCTAAACATAACTGAATGGATGCCTGCATCGCTATTCGCTACCGAGTATCGCTAAAGCATAATTTCAATCGTTGGTTGTTCAAACGTAATTTTCTATAATGAATGATGCCATTTCATTCTATGAAAACATTCTCGGTAAAGTGCAGAATCGCTCACTTATTTGTTTGCCGCTTTTTACAAGGGTAAAAACAATTGGATTTTTGTCAATTTTCTTTTAAAGGGAATTAAAATTTAAGGGAAAATAGGTCGATGTGCACATAGATAAAGTCAAGGGTGTGCGCAGTGCCATTTTTGTGCAATTCTGGGATTTTTTTTTTTTTTTTTTTTTTTTTCTTAAGTGAAAATAGGTACATGGATACCCAGTATGTTGCAATTCTTAAAAATGCGTCAAGCAGTGGCTGATTCTGCACTTAATCCAAAAATTGCGACTTTTCGTTACGGGCAATTCCAAATTGGTAAATCCATATGATATCAAAAAAGATTCAAAAATTAAACTAGTATCTCAATGGCGTCTTAAGAAATATAGAACTATATAACTTATATATAACTTACGAATACATAGCGCGTAATTGGGGCGTAGATTTGGCGCGTTTTGCGTATTACTTTTTCGCTGCAATATTTTTGCGGTTCTCAAAATGGAAAGTACCATTTATTGTTTGCTGTTGCAATTTTTTTTTTTTTTTTTTTTTTTTTTTTTTTTTTTTTTTTCAAATTAGGAAAACTGACACGATATGTTATTGCCACGTGAGTTCTTTTATTGATATTGAAAAAAAGTTGTTATATTGCTTTAGATGAAATCATAAGGTCATCCATATTAATCTGAAGTGTCCAAAGTTTTTGTTTCCTGGTTTGGCAACAAATGAATTGGTTATTGCTTGTAAGAATGATCTGATTTCATTCATATTGATATACTTTATACATTTTCTTTTCAGATTTACATAGAACTTAGTGTTTTGCTTTGGCCGCAGTCTGCTAGTTTTAATTAAAACCTGCTCATTTCATTTTTGGTATTCATATTATAAGATCTGCAAAATCCACTGAACTATTTTCTGAATCGGCTAACACGCGCATGCTATATAATCAAAATTACTATTTTAGTATTTTTGGCAATTAGCAATTTTAAATAAAACTAAATATGATTTTTTTTCCCTTTTAACTCTGAAGCTTCTAGTTCCTATTAAACTTTCTGAAATCAGCTGCATATTTCTGGAATTTCTTAATTTTTTTATTTGAATGGTTAATTTGTTTAGCTAAGAATCTCTTTATTTTCAGATTTTGCAGTTGGTGCTCCATATGCCGGAAAAGATGCTAGAGGAATTATTTATATCTATCATGGCAGTTCATCAGGAATCAGAGAAAAGCCATCCCAGGTTAAATAAAATTGCCATTTAATTTTAATAAACTTAAATGTTTTCTAGATGAAGTATGATACTATGTCAGTCCTTTTTTAATACTCGTAACTTTTAAAATTTACGTTATATCTTGAAATACAATGTATGTATCATGAAAATAAAGCCTATGTTACCTTTTCGATGTCTTTGTATGCATTTGCAAGTAAACTTGGACATTGTGGTGCACACAGTAACTATATCTTAATTCAGCTCTAATTTGTTTAGGTTATTACACCAGAAGACATCGCCGATTCCGGTTTGAGCACGTTAGGATTTGCAATTTCTGGTGCCATGGATATGGATTCCAACGAGTATCCAGGTTAAAAAATTTCTTTCCTTCTTATCTTTCTCCGATATTATCTGTAACAAAGAATATGTGTAAAACCAAAGGCAAATATCATTTTTCTTTTTTTAGATATTGTTATTGGAGCTTACGAATCAGATCGCGTGATATTTATGAGGTAAGAATTGACAGATTTGCTTTCATTCCCTGCTTTTTTATATTTTATCATGTTACCTTTCATGTAATATTTAGATTAAAACAATTGTTTGGTAAGTTTGATTAACAGATAAATGAACACTGAACACTGGATGTTTAAGGATGTTTACGGAGTTTTAGTATCGCATGGATATATTATCACATTTATTATATAGGGGTATTTATTTTGCATTGTTAAAAAAGCATTGACGATAATTCTAAAGTTTACTAACATGCAAAAACTGAAAAACGTTTGCATAAATTTATAATTAACACGTTGGGTACTTACGTATTACCCCGTCGTCTATCAAACTGTCGCTAAGGAACGCTATAAATTACAAATAAATGTGTGTGTGTGTTTGATTATGGCAAAGCCTCAAGGGCTATCTGCCTAATGTGAGGGATGCCTTCGTGGAGGACTTTCTAAGGGAAACTGTCTCGTATACAATAAATTACAAAAAAGCGTAACGTAACAACACTCACAACTCACTTTCTTATGACATAACCTCGACTGATTCTCGTTTGGTTTCGTTTGGTTTATTTAATTATGGCAAAGAACTTGAGGGCTAATCTGCCTAAGAAGAGGAATGCATTCGTGGAGGGCTTAAGGGAGCTTGCCTTCTATACACGTGGAGAAGACCACGAAAACGCCCATGCAGCCACAATGGCGTAGCAAGCATAACTGGCGCCCGGGGCAAAATACCTTTGTGGCGCCCCCCTCCCACAAAAAAAAACTATATATAATATATATATATAGAATATATTCGTAATAAGAAAATAATGCAATAATAATAAAATGCTGAATCTGCTATAACATACCAAAAATATATTAAGAATAGTCACTACCTAACTACACTAGGCTTGGATTCGGAAATGCGTCTGTGTCGGCGGAAAAATCAGACATACGTTGGTCTAGAATTAGTTAAAAAGGTTTTATTTATTTTACATATTTATATGTGTTTTTAAAAAGTACAGTTTTTAAACAATTAAAAGTTTAATATACATTATAGATAAATAGATATGTGGCAACGCCTACTACAACTCAACTCTGCCGGTCTGGTAACCTATAGCAACCAAAAACAAAATAATATTTATTCTATTCAATTGTTTATAATTATTTAACGATCTGTCTAAAAAATTTTACTTCCATAATTGGTGACCCGTATTTATTACGAATAGCAACCTTCAATGTTGCACGAATATGAGTTTATATGTCAAAATTCTGAGTAGCAGTAAGTTTATCCATTGTGATGAGATGCAAGTGAGACATTTCAAGCGTGGTGCCGCATTCCGGTGAGTCAACATATTTTCTGTCATAATTTCAGCGGATATATATGTATCGTCTGCTTGCATTTGAGGCTCCAATTTCTCTGATTTCAAGTACCAAGAAACTGTGTCACTATATACATATTGATTATTTTTCTATACATATATTTTTGTGCATATTTGATTGATCTAAAGTGGTTGACAACGATGCTGCTTCACAATTGACGAAGTGGTAGTTAAGCCACTGCCCTTTTGTCACCGAGACCCATCGTTATGGTTCATTCAATTGGATGCGCTTTGAGTCACCATTACTGCCGACGAAACTCAATTTTATACAGCGATCGCCGCGTTAAGAGGTTATCACATATGGCTACAGTCCCTGCTAGACGGGACTTTTCTGAGAAACGAGTTTCTGGTAGCACTGGTTTAAATGGGAGGATCCTAGAAAAAAGAGCCCCGCTGGAAAGCGAAGTTCCGCCTAGCTACTGAAAAATGTTGCGGCTACGCAGGATTTTTTTCAAACCTCACCGAACATGTCTCGGCTGGACCTCAGTTCCGGGTACAGACAACCAATCAGACGAAAGTTCTGCTTCTGAAGGATCACGTGATCCCAATTTGAGCGATAATCGATTACTGTTTGGCGTTCAAGGTCTTTGTAGTAAGTGAGAATGGTAATCTAGCTACGTGTGTTTCCTGTGCGGTTTTGAGAATTGTTCCTTTCGACGTCAAGTCCCGTGTAGCCGAAACATAATATGATTGGGACCTTAGAATCAGAGGTACTGCAATCAGCTCGTGGAATAATTTTGAATCCACCGGCGACGGACAAATACAAATCTTAAAAAAAAAAAAAATAATTTCTGTTTATGAAGAATCCGAGACAGTTAAAATCAAGCAGTTGTTGCACGATTTACGGTTGGGTGATATGAGGCCTTCTCAATTGCTGTCTAAAATGTCAGACTAGACCGGTAACCTAACGGATAATATTCTTAAAACATTATGGATGAATAGACTCCCATCTAACATGCAAACCGTTTTAGCGACCAGTAAAACCACTTAAAAATCTTCCCGAAATCGCTAATAAAATTCACGAGCTGGCCATTCCAGCTCAAATACACGCAGTGCAGGCTCCTGATCCAGGTATTGTGGCGTTACAGGGTCAAATTGGGGATTTTTCCAAACAGGTTGCTCAGTTAGTAACCATCCAAGCTGAATCCTTTCAGCGCAACCGCTCCACATCACCTGGTTTGAAATACACATCGTAGCCCACTGAGGAAACGTTATGAAAGTCCTCCTACGGGTATTTGTTTTTACCACCAAATTTGGAAACAAGGCAAACAAATGCCGCCTCAACGTGTCGTTAAACGACCAGGGAAACGAGAAAGGCCGTTGCTCGAGTAGTGTGAACGACAGCGGCCGGAATTTTGCACGCCTTTTGCGTCATCGAAATGAATTCGGGCTTAAGGTTTCTTGTAGACACCAGGGCTGATGTTTCTGTCGTTCCACCACATTTTCGAGAACAAAAGCGCCTTACCAAGTTACAACTTTATGTAGCAAATGGAACTCCTATTCAAACTTTTCGTGAACGCCTGATATCTCTTGATTTAGGATTGCGCCGCAACTTCCAATGGCCATTCATTATTGCTACTGTTTCAAGTCCTATTATTGGCGCTGACGTTTTTCAAAAATTTTCTTTGCTCGTCGATCTTAAGAATCGCCGTTTGATAAATTACACAACCAGCTTAACACATCCGGGAGTAATTCGCAATAGTCAAGATTTGAGCATTAAACTGATTTCGGGTAACACCCCATGGCATCAACTTCTCAGAGAATTCCCTACAAACACGCACCCAGTTATGGGTATTTCCGAACCCAAGCACAACGATGTACTACATTATATTGAAACTAACCGGACCTCCAATTTGCCGCTAAACCAAGACGCTTACCTCCGGACAAGCTTAAAGCCGCCAAAGAGGAATTTCAATACATGATGGAAACAGGGAATTTGGGGTCCTTCAAAAAGTTCATGGGCCAGTCCGCTCCATCTAGTTCGGAAACGAAATGGTAAGTGGCGATTATCGCCGGTTAAATGCAGCTACTACAATTCCTGATCGTTACCCAGTCCCGCACATTCAAGACTGTATGCAAGTTTTAGAGGGAAACGCTATTTTACAACCCTTGATCTTGAGCGGGCGTATCACCAAGTGCCCGTTAACCCAGTCTGATATTCCAAAAAGCTGCGGTTATTACGCCTTTTCGGACTATTTGAGTTTCCGGTCATGACTTTCGGCTTATGCAATGCTGCTCAAACGTTCCAACGCTTCATGAATCAGGTGTTGAAACGGCCTCGACTTTTGGGTACCTTATTTTGATGACGTCTTAATCGCCTCCTCTTTCAGAGCAAGAAGCACCTATCACATTTGAGAACAGTTTTTGAACGTTTTCAAAAAGTACGGTGTCAGTCTTAATCCTTCCAAATGCGTTTTTTGGCCAACCAAGAGTATTCCTTTCTTGGTCATGAAATTTCCACTGACGGCGTTCGACCCCTTCCAGATAAAGTCACCGCTATCCGCGATATGCCCGAAACCATCTACAGTGAAAGACTTAAGGAGATTTCTTGCTATGCTCAATTTTTATCGACGTTTCTTACCTCATGCAGGAACCATACAAGCACCTCTAAATTCTTTTTTGGTTGGAAGCAAGAAAAACGATAAACGTGTTATAACCTGGACCACAGAATCTCGCGAAGCGTTCCAAAAATGCAAAAATGATTTAATTTCGGCAACAAATTTGCAGTATCCTTCCGCATCGAAACCATTATCACTCTACGTTTATAAGGTATTTCTCCCGCTTTCCTAGCGTGCCTTCGTGGTGTAGTGGTTCTGCACGCTGGGCCGGTACTCCAGAGGTCCGCGGTTCGATTCCCGGCTAAGGCGGTCGCTAATTTTTCAATCTCTCTCTTGCTTCCAAATATCCTAATGTCTCTACAGTGGCGCCCGAACTAAAAGGGGTGTTGGATGAGGATTCTCCACACCCAGGATTTGGCGATTGGGTCCCCTAAAAACCACAATCGCCCTTTAAAAAGGGGAGTATATAAGGTATTTCTCCCGCTTCCCTAGCGTGCCTTCGTGGTGGAGTGGTTCTGCACGCTGGGCCGGTACTCCAGACGTCCGCTGTTCGATTCCCGGCGAAGGCGTTGCATACTTTTAATCTCTTCTGCTTCCAAAAAAAAACTTCATGTCTCTAAAATCAACCTAATGTTTCTACAGAAAGACGAATTATGGAGACCACTTTCATATTTTTCTAAAAAACTCTCACCAGCGCAAACCAGATACAGCACTTACGATCGCGAATTATTAGGAATTTATGAAGCTGTTAAATATTTTCGACATATGCTATAGGGAACGCGTTTTCATGATCTTCACAGACCTCACAAACCCTTAATCTACGCTTTTCAACAGCGTTCGGATAAAGCTTCTCCTCGTCAAATGAGACACATAGACTTCATAGCGCAATTTTCAACAGATATCCGTTATATTGAGGGTTCGCAGAACATTGTTGTAGACACCTTGTCTCGTATTGAAGAACTAGCCGTTCCTTCGTCAATAAACTTTGCTGCCCTTGCGGACGAACACCGGGATTCAGAACTACAAACCCTCTTGAAAAGCAAATCTTCCACCAATCTGAACTTGCAGCCTATGCAGCTGTCATCCGGAAAATCACTTTATTGTGATGTTCAGGATTTAAGATTTCGACCTTATATTCCCTCCGGGTTTCGCCATGCCATTTTTAGTCAGTCACATCCTGGCATCAAGGCTTCGAGGAAACTGATACAGCAACGTTTCGTATGGCCTAGTATGCAAAAGGACATAGCCAACTGGATACGTTCGTGCTTGGAGTGCCAAAAATCGAAAATTGTCAGACACACCACCAGCCAACTTAAAAAATTTAATTTGCCCTCATCTCCCTTCAATCACGTGCACACCTGGACTTGGTCGGGCACTTATATTATTAATAATAATATAATACATGAAACACAATTAATTACTATGTATACATTTTTCTTACCTTGGATGAAGCAAATTTATCATTTACTTCATCAAAGTCGAGCCTTTCAAATTTTTCTCTTTCCACACATAAAATGCTAGATGACTTAGGGGATCTTTTCCCATCGTTGATTGTAAATATGTGAAAATTTATTTTAACTTGCTGAACGAAAATTCATAGCTAGCATTTGATAATGAAATAGTAAGTAGTATTTGAAGTGTGACTCTTAGGTTTGGAAAAACATTTTCTCTATAGCTCTGTAGTGGAGTTTTAGGTTCCGTTTCTTTTCTACTACGGAGTAACGTAATGAAGTCACATTCACTGCTCAAAACAATTAGGGGATATTGTGGGTTCGGTATGAAATAACCATATAATCGATAACCTTTTTGAACAAAAGGAAATAGAAGAGATTATAAAGGAAAATTATAACGTTTACAAAGTTGGGAATATGCAAATTTAGTCTGTGACGTCAAAAACTATGCGTTTTAGATAAGGAGTAAGGAGCGACCTGCAGTATTCCTTTTGTAATAGGAGATTAAAAACAATTGACATGCGTTGAATGCTTCGTAGAAGTGAATAATATACGATGTCTCAGCAAGATTACTTAGTTGAATCGGTAGCCAGGAAGGCAATCAGTCGTTTACAGGAGAGTCGAACGCAATCCATTGCAGCGGAAGCGTTAGGTTAGGATTTTCTCAAAATGTCATTTCCAGATTATTGAATCGGATTTTGGAAACTGAATATGTTTGAGAAATTCGGGACAAGGCCGTGTTATCGTTTTAAAATAAAAAGCGGAAGTTATACGTGCATTTCGTTTAAAAAAATACAAATATCTCTACTTTGGAGAAATAAAGTGGTCAGAAAGAACGTTTTGGTTGATGTACTGCAAACATTTTATTACACATTTTATCAGGCAAATCAAGAAAATAAATAATTAATTATATTACAATAGTTATTAATTTTAAATATATTTTCCAGAAACCGACCAAAATAAAAACTAAAATTTTCCGGAAAATCTTGTTTGGAGACCATTTGGCGCCTCTCTACGAGCGGCGCCCGGGGCATCATGCACCCCCTTGCCCCTCCCTCGCTACGCCACTGTGCAGCCACCCCGTTCCCCGGGATTTGATCTCCCCCGATCGAACTACCAGTGTTCAGTGATTTCAACTCATTCTTGATAAGCCATTTTTGTTTTTATGAACAAGGATGCAAATTAATGGCTATTATTGTATTTTTAATTGTATTTTGAAAAAAAAAAAAAAAAAAAGTGGTTAAAATTTGGAACTTTCTTTTTACAAAACAGCAGGCAGTGGCTTATTTTCAAAGTTATGAAATTCTATCATCATAAAGATATGTGTTAAAGGACATGATGCGTTCAGCTGAATATGGCCGACAGAACAGTAACACAGCTTTCTAGACAAAGCTTTCTGTAAGATCGAAGAGCTTAATAAAATAGTACAGGTCGACGGAAGACGCTTTACGATGCGCAAAAACGAAGCCTGTCGATTGTGATTGCTTATTAAATAAAGAGGAGTCAGTTTCTTTCTTATCTCACATGAAGGGGTGGCATGGCGCAACTCTGGCAGGATCTTTGCCAATTTTCATGGTTCGACGACAGCCAACTTTCATGGTCGACGGGATAATATGTACGTACCAAACATTTTTATGATCATAGGCACGTAACGTAAACAAAATAGTCTTATACATTTTAGTATTGAAAAGTATTTACAAAATAAGTTTTCTTACCTTTGCCCAGTTTTGCGTATTTAAAATCATAGCATCTCTGTTATTACAAGCTAATCGAAAGTCTTGAGAATACATTTCAAAAATTCCAGCTACTATCCGATGGAAAAAGCTTGTTTCTGGTTATATAGAGCATAAGAGCAAGTTTAAAACTGCTGTTGTGACTTACCTCAATTGTCTGTCAGTAACATCACAACAAGCCAAGGAAATTCATCGTGGCAAGGAGTACAAGATTGCGCCTGACGTTGGCAAAATCCTTGGGAATCATACGGGTGACAGTACGACTTTACTCAGTTCCGCCCCCGATTTTGATGAAGAGCATACGGGGAAGACGGATCCGAGAGTCTCCCACCTGTCTTTCCCTGTAGAGACATTAGGTATTTTGGAAGCAGGAAAGATAAAAAATATGCAATGCCTTCGCCGGGAATCGAACCGCGGATATCTGGAATGCGTGCCAGAGTGCAGACCACCACAGCACGAAGGCATGCCAAGAAGGCGGGAAAAATATCTTATACTCCTATCAGCAATCTCTTGAGAGGACTTTTGGCTCGCCAAATATTTAGAGTGCCCCCATGATGCACAGACATTATATACATTTACAAAGATCCATGCCTTCTCCGGGATTTGAATCCGAGTCCTTCGTAGCGTGGCTAACCGCTATGCCGGTTGGACGGCAGGTTTAATGCTTTTGTTATAAAAAAATATTTCCACTTAATCTATGAAATTTGCTAAAAGTCTCCTGAAAGAATATTGGTTTGTAGTGCATAGCTTTAGAGAATAATGTGATTTAAACCTAGTATAACATTGTAATAATCTCACAGCATAGCTTGGGTAGAATACTTATGCATCAAGCTAACATATTTCTTGAAAGTGTCATACTCGTAAGTGTTCATTAAATCAACAGCAATTATTTCTTTACAGGTCTCGACCGGTTGTAAATATTTCTTCAAGTATGATACTCAGCAAAGAAGTTATTAGCCTCGAAGACAAAACTTGCAATTTGAAAGACAAGACCAAAGTAGCTTGGTAAGTACTTTACTTAAATTTATAGAATACTTGGTTAGAATTTGTGGCAGGTTAAAACTTGGAGTGAATGAAATAAAACTGAATCACGGGAGTTGTAATAAATACAAAAATTTCCAAATTTAAAAATGATTTGGTTAAAATCTGGAGCAGATTAAAACTTGGACTGAATGAAATAAAACCTAATTACGGGATTGATAATATATTTACAACTTTTCAAGCATTTTAAAAATTACTGTAGCCGTTTGCTATTCGTTATAAATAATGAAAAAAACAATACAAATATTTCATTTGATTGCATATATCTGGACGGTTTTAAAATGCATATGGGGGTAGAATTTTCGGTACTTACGTATAAGCGCAACCACCTTAGCGCAGTTTGGCAAATTTTATGAGAGAAAATGAACAGGGACCTCTGTTGTAAAAAATATATTTGTTGCATCCCTATTACTACACTATTTTACATCTTAACTACTTATTTATACGAAAAACGAATTAATAAACTTACTTGCAAACGAGATTGCTTTTTTCTGATGGAAATCTGTGGCCATTGCTTTGAGAACATTCGAAGAATTGTTTCTGGGAAAATACAGCATTGCTACACAAATTTTACGCTGTTTCCTCTATCGTAAGCAAATCCTGCAAGCATGTTGTTTAAGGTTGAATTTAAGAAATGATAATGATTTGTCCATAAAAACACTGAAACTTGGAATACAACAAAAAGTACATATAAGAAAATGGCAACGTTTCTTTTTTAAATTAAAAGAAGTGTCATGGGCATGGTTACCAGAGTTTGGCTCATTCTGAAACATTTTTGGTCATTTTTACTAAGGGAGCTGCGGTAATATCTAAATACGGAATTTTATTGAGCCAGGAGGAAAAACGTTTTTATAGATGAAAGAGTTACAGTTTTGAAACAGATAAAATTTTTGTCTTAAGTGTATGCCAATATGTGGTTGCTTCAATTTTATGTTTTACAATGACGTATTTCTCTTCCGTTTAGGGCTATTAACATAATAAACAACTACCAAAAGATATCAAAATTGACAACAATGAATATAAAAATTTTTCAGAAATCTAAGGTACAAAAGTATTTCGGATGGAATGAAAAAATGTTTAGATATAACAAGTTCTTTTTAATGAGAGAAATGCAAAATTTCAAATTCCCGCTATACAAATTTACTTGCATGCAAAATTCTTTCTCATCTCAACGTTATTAATATATATATTTGTAATTATTTCATTAAAAATTTGTTAAGAAAGAGGAATTATATTATTTTTGTATGGATTACTTAAACGAAAACAGATAAATTAATCACTAAGAATTAAAGAGAAACGAACGAACACGATTTGAACATAAGATACTCAGTGCACTGCAGAACATTCTTGGTCGCAAATCAGGAATCATCTCTAAATACTATTAAGAGATTTATGTACGTAACACAAGAATTCAAAATCACATAAAATATCTTGGACTTGTTAAGGAACTCAATATTGGGTTCCGCATGAAATGAGAGAAATTGACTTCACACAATGCTTTGAAACGAATTATTGCTGGTGACAAGAAATGGATCGCCTAAAAACGATCATGGTCCAAGCACGATTAATCAGCACAAATCATGTCAAAAGTGCATCAGAAAAAGATCATACTGTCAATTTGGTGGGATTACAAAGGTGTTGTGTATTTTGAGCTGCTTGAAAGCAGCCAAATGATTGACTCAGATCAACTGCCGACAGCTTATAAAACTGGAGGAAGCAAAAGGCTAGATCTTAACAATCGCAATGGAGTCGTGTTCCACTACGACAATGCGAAGCTTCACACGTCTTTAGCAACGCGTGCAAAATTATTGGAGCTTGGTTGGGAAGTGATATCGCATCCCCCATATAGCTCCGATCTTGCACGTCGAATTGTCATTTATTTCGAACTTTACAAAACTTCTTAAATAGCAAAAATTTCAGTGATAAGGATGACCTCAAATCGCAATTGGTTGAGTATTTTGCTGATAAAGACCAGAAATTCTATGACAACGGAGTCAAGAAGTTACCAGAAAGATGGAAAAGGTCATCGAACAAAATGGAAGATATTTGAGTGATTGAAGTTCCTTTTCTTGTACAGAAAAAAATCGAGTTTTATTTTGCGCTAAGAAACCGACATTACTTTCTTGCCAACTCAATATTTGTATGGTAAATTAAATAACACGGTAATAATAATTAAAATAGATTTTAAGGTAAATAAAATGTCCAAAATGCACTTTGTAAACAGTTAACCATACAGGTTTCACTCCTTTTGATAATGATAAAACGGAGTGTTGCTATGAGAGCCTTCGAAAGCCAAAGGAGCAATCATCACTAAATTACGAAAGGGAAATGATCTAGTCTAATTTTGTCTTATTTGGATCAAATAAAAGCTCTGCCTATGTTTTGCATAAATTTATAGTTTCTATTTGAGTGTTCGACAAATATTTGAGAATATTCAAATATTTTATGTGCTAGAATTAAGTTTTTTACTCAGTATCAGGAAGGAATTGATCTATGTCTTTATACAATTTTCAAGGAATAATTCTGTAGTTCTTAGTGATGTTCTTTTTTTTACAGCAATTTAAATATCTAGGCTTAATGTTAGCTGCCAGATCAGACATGTTGAATAAATCAGGATAAACTGGTTTGTATTAATTAACCGACTTTTCTGACACATGGTGATCCGCCTTGCACCGCAGAAGTTCTGTTCCACAAATTTCTCAAAGAATTGCTCATTTAAACCGAAAGGAAAGTAAATGAGATAACACATCGAGAAAAATTTAATGTCTTGACCACCGAGGTAGTACAGTGTCTATGTTTCTGTGCTCGTTTTCCTATGTTCAAAGTGAGAAGCAGATTGTTTTGATGAGATGGTTTCTGTCAATAAGTCTCCAAGGCGTAATAGCTCTAAAATTTTTACCTCGCCTACACAGTTTATGCATTTGTGTGTAAGAAAATACTCTCCTATATAGTTTATGCATTTGTATGTGAGAAAATGAGACACCTTTTGCGGTTCACCAGGGGACTTGATAATAACAACAAAACATGGACTAGTAAATTCACTGCCATTTCTGGTGATATTCAGTTTTTAGGTAGACCATACCTTAGCTCTTTTCACAGTTTATCGATAGTTTTGAATTAGCAAGTTTGAATCATGGAAGTTTCCCCCGCCAACCTCGAAGCCCGACAAGGGAATACAGATAAATACTCTCTCAAGGTTAGTCAGACCTATATTGTCATAGAAGCCCCGCTAAGCATTTCCTGATCGAAGGAACTTCCGAGCACTCGTTCGCAAGTCACCAACTTCAGAGCGGAAGCTCAGCCTATTTACATTAGAAAGAACAACCAACTACTTCCTGTTCAGCTGAAGCACAGGCTAAAAGAGTGTGCTGAGGATACAACATCTCCCCTCAACTCAAAACCGTCATTTCTAATGACGCGAATCTTCAATCACGGGGAACACGTACGAAGTTTTTTGCTATTTGAATAGAAATGAAGGGTTTCCGCAGCATCCTAGACGAACCCCATCATCTAAAAAAGTCACTAGAAAGAAACGAAGACTGAAAGCAATGGAAATGAGAAAAGATCTTTGCAACTCATCGTGAGAACAAAGTTTATTAAGAAGGCGATCTTTTGAGGGATTACCGCCATACCTATATTCACGAAAAAGTAATTGAGGCAAAATGCCATGGAGGGAAAGAGGAGGAAAAAATCTAAAATATACATTCAAGTAAAAACAGCAGAAAATGAAGATTCGTAGCTTTTGCGATGTGCTGATACACAAACCAGCGGTTCTTAACCTGTGATACGTGGTACGTGATGGCATAGTCAGGGCTATGCGAAACATTTATCAGTAATGGAGCAAACTAACAAGGTATTATAACAAATGCTAATAAAATCAAAATATTCAGAATATTTAAATTTTTCACTGATTAGCTAGAAAAACAGTTTAACTAATTATCATGCTATACTCTATTCCGTATGCATCATACCTAGCCAATCCCTTCCTTTTGTTCTATCACAGCGTATCGTATACGGTGACTGTATTTTCAGCATTTATTGAATAATTAAGTCAATTATGTATCTCTTTCTTTAAACTGTAATATGCAAATTAATTTGAGTGTGGAGCTTTAGTTTAAATTCTTGTTTCTTTCAAAGTTGCGACTTGCAAACTGTTGACATAAAAATGGATAAATAAGGTAAGAAGTAAATCTTTGTACAAAATAAAAACTTCTTTGTGCAAATAATTCCGACTTATCATCTGTGCCAAGCAAGTTTTAGGAGATCACCCGTTCTAAATAAGCTTTAGAATTCACAATGATGAAGGGCTTCAAGGACTTTCATTCTTCGATATTTTTTCAACCTTAAATAAACCGAGCTTAAGATTGCCAAAGAGTGCCGTAACTGTTTGCGAACAGTCTGACAAAACTGATTGTATGCTCAGTATGCCGAAAAATTTAGATTTCTGGGAATCATGCTTTGAAAATAAACCGAAATTTTCGAGACACTTTACGTATTCTTATTAGAAAAATTAGCTTCATTTAACAAACGAATTCAAAGAGTAAAAACTCATTCAAAATGCCTCCAAGAATCGTTCAAACATTACTTACCAAACAAAGTGAGAAGAACTATTAAATTTCAGATCCTATCTACGAAAATTCCTTTAAAGAACCCTTAAAATTAATATTTTTTGAAAAACAATTATACTTTTTCTGACTTTATTTATTGCGGTTTATTAAATTTATGGTAATAAAATAAAAGCATTGTAAGCTATATTGCGAGATCAGAGGTTATAGGTTCTTAAGGGGGAAAGTTAAGGGTACTCTATAATTGCAATCTATTTCATTAAAGGCTACGTGAAAGAAAAAGAGTTGATAATCATTGGTATAGATAGTGTAATTTCACTTTTCGAAATAACGAAAATTGCATTTGAGAAGTTCGAGATGGTTGCAGGGAGGTTGGTTGTTGGAGTTTTGTTAGAAAGATAAAAGGTTACTTCAGAAAACCGTTTTTTTTTCCACTCTCACATAGTTGTGCACTGCTGTGACCAGAACTGTAAGACAAATTGAAAACTGGTAATGTTCATGAAAGGCCATAGAAAAAGGCATCACTTATTAAAAAAAAGAGAGAGAGAGAGAGTATTTTTAAAAGCTTTTGCTTTCAACAAATTACCTAAATATTAAAATGAAATAAAAAATGAAGAAGTTCAACGCAATAACTAATACAAATAAGCAAAAATTTTAACCTGATTGCAAACGGTACTTACGTATTATCCTGTCGACCGGCCATGTAGCACGATTTAGTGGCAATTATGGATGACCGTGTCCTTTACAATTCCGCGTGATCGGCTGGCAAATGGCTACCGTTGCCGAAATTTCCTCTAACAGTAATGTTAAAAAAGCATTATTGTGACGGTAGTTGGACGCAGTAAAAATCTACTGCTTGACGTGGAACCCTGGGTGGAACCTGGGAAGTTGTAGTACGAAAGATAGTTCGAAAGCCGAGAGGTGGGTCTCATCATCCCTCCCACTCTCCTCTTAATTTGTCCAAAGTATTTTCTTATCTACGAAGTTACATTTTTAGTATCTACTGAGTTACATTTTTAGTCCAATAGGGCTATAAGTCTCGAAATAAAGTTTCATGTTGATTCATTTTAAATATCTGTCTGTGAAAATTAATTTTTTCACTTTTCATTCGAATTTGTAGCCATTCGGCAGCATATAAAATGCTTATCTTTAACATTTAATCTATTATTGTTTAACAAACTAAACTATTTCAAAGCAATAGATGCAGTTTGAGAATATTAATTTTTACTTTTTAATCTGATTGATTTAAATAAAAATGCATTTAATTCCTGATATAATTAAAAATATGAAATATTTTTTATAGAATTGCATTATATATTTTACAAGTTTTTTATGTATTCAGAAGATATATAACGTGCTTTTAAATGTACATTCATCTAGTACCCTATAAAATGTTTCACTGTCCCTCCTGGGCCATTTCTATTGATAAGCCAAATTAAATTTCAAAAGATCCCTTATTTGCGACCGCCAAAATCTTAACCCTTTCATACTTTTGTTCTTTATTTTTAAATGCATCTTTTTGAAAAGGATCGCTGCAAAATTGTTCGCTTTTCAATTTTTGTTGCAGTTACAAACGTATTAACTACTACACATGCTAAGAGATCATTGTTCCTGAAATATTGATTTTTTTAAAGATTTATATGCTGTCAGAAAGCAGCATTGCGTATTAAAAACCCGATTTCTTACTCAAAAGGTGCAGGCATAGCATGGTGGACCTGTATTTCTATTAAATATCTAAAGAGTGTTAGTAAAATTAACTATAAAGTGGCATATAGTTAAATTATGTTAAATGGACTGCATAAGAAAAGGATTAAAGCAGTATGAAGACATTCCCTAATTTTCAATCTGTTACTTTAAAGAATCCATTTTAATTCTCATGATAAAATAACTTTTTCAAATTATTTCTTTTCAGCATTGAAGCTACTTTATGTCTTTCGTACAATGGCCTCGGAGTAGCCCCAGAAATCGGTAAGTTGATTATTAATACCTTAACCCAATTAAATAATGTAATTTCCTTCACTAAAACAATAACCTTTCGTGTTGAGGAAGTAAAAAAATTGAAATAACGTTCTAGTAAGGCTCTCAAAGGAATATATTAAACCTTAGCCGTAGCACGTGGTATGCGACGGTTTTTATTAACGTAGCTTTTGCTAAATAAGCTTGTGTCAAGAACATGGGATTTTAAGTAACAAGTGTTATGAAAATGAACTTGGGAATTTTCTACTTGTGTATGAACTGATGTCGAAGACTTCCGTTGGTGGTAACTTACAATTAAAGGTACATACTGCTGCTGCAGTCATGTGGTATCGTAACCGTTTTATGTCAATAATGTATTCAATGTTATTCTGCCTGAAGCGGCATGTACCGTATTTGTTAGTCTTACATATTTTCCCCTTTATTTTATTTATTTATTTATTTATTATTATTATTATTTTAGTTTTCGTTTATGAAGTCTATTTTGTAATGAAGAGGGAATCGTTTCCTTCCATGATAAAGATATGTTTTCGAATAATAATGAATGCGTTAACTTCCTCGCAATAAAATTATATGTCACCAAAAGAAAGATGTTATGCATCACCTAAACGAAAGCATGATAAAGCACGCTAAGTTTTAATGGAGAAACGAAGGATTTCTTTATTTCACCCGTATATAAAGTCTTAAGGAACTGGTTTTTAAAGTTATGAATTTAAAAGAGAATAAGTAATATTTAGAGGCAAAAAATCTTAGTGACAGCATGTATGGCTTACTATGATAGATTATATAACTCATTTAATAAAATAAAAAGGAATGCCTTAAGTGAGAGATTATTTGTTCAACTTTGTTTGGAAAATGATGAAGATTATAATCGTTTACTACTTAACACCGAAGTTCGTTGATTATCTAAAAGCACATATTTGGGTCGATTTTATGCGCTCTTTGATTTAGTGTTGGAATTCCTAGAAATTAAAGATAATGATTTACAGCTCAATTTAATTCATTCGGAAAATGACATAGCTTATATGATAGCAATTTAAAGCTACAAATCGATTCATTAAATTTAATGAAAACTAAACGTACAATATCTACGTTTATTGCAAAATTTTTTCTCCACAAACAAAACTGAGGAAAGAATGTTCTCAGATTCCAAATCTTTCAAAATTACAAAAACTAGATGAAGATTTGTTTGCTTATTGTCAGCACTTAACCGGTTCTTCATTCTGATCTGAGCCAGAGATTTGAAGACATTCTTCACTTGGTTGTTCTCAAATGGGTGTTGGACCTTTTTCAACAGACCCTATTAACTCAGATGACTTTAAACTAATATAAGAGCAATTTACTGAATTATACTTAAATAAAGAGCTGAAACCAATGCTTAAACTAGGATACACAAATTCTGGTTTCAAAAACAGACATGAATTTTATATTTCACTTTATGTTTCACTGTAGCGAAGCTGTTGAATGCTTTCCCATAACTAGACTTAGTTATGAGCTTATCTCGAAACAATGCAGTTATGAACTTCATCTCGAAATAAAGAAGGAATGTAATTTGAAATTATAACTTGTAAATGTTACTTACAGACGTAGAGGCGAAAAAAAATAATCTCGCATCCTCCTATCAGGTTCACCCATCTCATTGGAGGGAGGCGAAAGGAGTAATGTATTTTTGGATTTTAAAACAAAGTGTGGTGTAGTGGCTGAAACCATTACACAAACCCCGGGTTGTAATACCGGGTTGAAATGAATTTCTAACTCAAGTTTTAACAATAAAATGAATTTTAATAAAATACAAACATTAACAGTTACGGTTCATGACGATGTGGGACTTGTCCCGTAATTCCCGTAATTAAGTCCCGTAATTTCAGAAATTTGTTAAACAGGAATATGCGCGATCAACAGCATACATGAGGAATCACAGTTCGGACCTACAGCCCCAGCAGGAAGATCGTGGCTTTTCCCCGTAAGCCACCTTTCTTTCTCGTAGCAAAACTTTACTACTCACGCTGACGTTACCTCCGCTGAATTCCGTGGGAGAACTCCTCTCCTGTTCCGTAACAAAGGTATCCACATTCCGACCCTGATGAAAAGACTTCTTTAACCATTGGAACGATCTTCGAGGATGAAACCAGAATCATCAAATAAAAAAAAAAGGGCCTCGTTGCACAGGATTTCTCCTCTGGTGCATTCCTTTCGGAAATCATCCCCCTGGACAACCAGACAAAGAACAACTGTGCGACCTTGTCACAAAAGGCTGATTTCAATAAGTGCTACTTTAAATATAAAAACCTTTTATTTACAATATTTTTATTTTGGCATCATCGCCAACCAGAACGGAAAGTGGTTAGTGACTCTTGACTGGCGTAGCAAAAGACCCGGGTTCGCATCCCGTAAAAGGCATGGATGTAAATTGCCTGTTCCTTTATAGTAGGCAACGATGGTCGCCTATCAGGTGCCCCTATAATAAAATTACCACCGCTTCTGGCCTTAGTTAATGGCCAAAGCCTAAAATGTTTAGCGCCTGCTATTTAAAAAAAAAATTACGTCACCATTTACCATGTAAGATATCAAAGCTAAATTTGTAGTTTTTCTATTATGCAGGTATGTAAAGTTATTTCATTTAGGGGTTTATGGTCAGGTTTTTGCTGTAAGAAGGAATCCATGGAAATAAGTTTGGGAAACCCGTAGTCTAAGCTAAGGTATAAAAACTTGTTCGAAGTTTACCAAAGTGGCATAAAGAGCTGTTTCCATTTTAGTGTGATAATTTAATTTTCAATAAATTACTACCATATTTTGGTGTTGAGACAAAGATATTTTGATGCGAAGTTTTCCGTGCTTCTTTTCAGATCTTTCCTATCAGTACACGCTGGATGCAAATCAACGAAGTTCACGAGTACTGTTTCTGGATGCAGATCCTGTCCAACTAGCAAGTAGAACTCGCAATATTCGGCTGAAGAAAGACGTTCAATACTGCAATACCAGCACTGTTTACATACAAGTAATTCTGTATTTTTGATTTATTATAAAGTTTGAAGGTAACTAATGTGATTGGGCGAAGTGAGGGCTTTTAAATATGAAAAATCTCCTTCAAACATGTTTCACTGTATACGTTAATGTAAACAAGAATTAACAAAATGCACCATTTAATAAAATAATAATTATTTTACTGCTAAGAACTGTTTATTGTTATATATATGTGTGTGTATAAGATCACCTATGAGCATACATCTATCAAAGTACTATAATTTTTAATTCTTAGTAGCCTCGTATTTGCGGATACTGTGAATGATGTTTAACACTGTTTTTTTTTATTACTTTTTCATAAAAAGTCAGAGAGCATCGTCTTACAGTGATGTCCGCCGTAATATGTGTATTCTAAGACGGCTTTTGTAATATAAATGCTTGAGCTATTTTATATTTCGTAAATAAGAGGTGCATTGGAAATGACTAGTTCATCAAAGTCTCGTATATAAATTTAAAGAAAATGTTTTATGAGATGCTACAATTATTCTGATTTATTTAAAAAAACTTAAAAGTATTTTTTATTATTATCTTCTATTGAAATGCTTGTACGAGATATAATAAATTCGTAATCATTAATATGGGAAACATCAAATCTGATTCAAAAAATCAATGAAATTTTAAAGGAATTTCTTTTCAAAAAAGCTTAAAATATTTCTCTAAAGTTCTTCAATATTTTTAAATACTTTTTAAAGACTTTCTTCAAAATAGCAAATCTTAAATCTGATGTAGTTTGATGATAATGTTTGATGATGATGATTGTTTGTAGATGATGAATCTAATGTAGTTCTGATTAAAATACAGAATTAATAAGTAATCCAAAGTTCTGATAAGTTTATTACATACTCATGCATTGGAAAAAAAATTATAAAAAAGTCTGAAAGATTTCAGATTTTAAATTACGTCCAAAGGGCGTTTTTTTTTTAACATTTTGTGTTACCTTTACAATATCGCAAAACAATTTTTAAATGAGCATATCTTTAGAATTTCCGATACACAGTCTCTCGCGTTGAAGATATTTTTTTTTTTTTTTTTTTTTTTTTTTTTTTTTTTTTTTTACAGTGTTGTTATTGCTCGCTTTGAAATCGTTGAGTTTGTTAATGAAAAATTCGTTCAAGTTTTACAAAATACGAAATTCATAATTCCAAATTTGGGCATCCAGATTCCCATATTTGCAGGAGGATTACGTTATTCAAAATTTGATGGCTCTATATGCCGTTGTTTTATCACAATGCAAGAAATATACATACATTTATGCAGATTCTTCATTATTTGATTTCTTTAATATACTACAGGGCGATAATATTTGGTGGCAACAATTTGAAAAGTAAAACAACGCTTTTAGTGAATCAACGCAAAATGCGAAAACGAAGTTCATAGTCCTTCTGGGCAAACTGCCTCTTTGGACTAACAAGTTACAGCTAATATTAATCGGTAGCCAAAGAAAATATTTTTTGGCAAGCCGCCAAATTTGAAATGCAAATTGGTGTAAAACTGCTGATATGTCTTCTCGGAATCTGGTATTTAGGCATAATCTAAGGCATAGAATCAAATTAGATGAAACGGGGAAATAAATTAATAAATAAAAATGTTATGAAATGCCTTTTCATTTTATATCAATTCCGATTGTGAAGAACAATGCTATACGAGTTTCAAATATATACGCTGAATCTCACCTTTGGCATATAAAAAGTGCAATTTCTCTTCAATCGGTCAGACAGCTAAAATGGGAGAAATAAAATCGCCTTCCCCCATAAAAATTCAAGTCAAAGAATTGACATCACATTTCGTATGTAATTTATAAATAAATACACCTTTCACTATAATCTGTTACTTTAGACATTTCAAGTCTCTCGCCTCTTTCCTTGTAACCGTGGTAACAACTGTGGAAAAAGTTCGAGTCCTCTAGTTTTTCCCTCACTTCATTTCATTTAGCGAGTTTCGATTTGTGAAAAGGGCGCGAATGAAGGCTGATGTCTCAAATCTGATGAGAAACTAAATGATGCTTGGTGACGGCGACACAAGTTACGATCATAAATGAGGGAGGCTCGTTGAGACTTTGGAGTGTCTAATTTAAAATAACTGACTGTAGTGCATAAATAAGGTAAATGGTATAAAAGATTTTTGTTTGCACTGGAGTGGACTGTTTAAATTATGGTAAAGCATATGATGGCTATGTGCCTAAAACAGAAGGTTGCCTTTACGAAAGATTTTCTAAAGTAAACTGGATTGCATTCGCATAACATTTCAGGAAAAACATGCCCACGCAATGAACCCGTTCTCTGAGAATTCGAAACCGACTCATACTACTATGGTCAAAGATTTTATTTATTTCACCATTTACGAGAGAAATAAAAAGAGGAACGTGCAAGTCAAAATAAGCGGGGAAGGTATCTGATATTTCTAGTAATTTTATTAACTGTAATTAGTGGAAAGTTTTTTAAGCTCAGCATAATTCTGATAATTTTTCTTTGCAGAATGGTATTCGGGACAAATTAACGCCTATTGAAATTAAAGCCAGTTACGACCTCATCGACCTTGAACCTTACCGATTCGTATTGAAACCGATATTAAATAAGAATGTTCCAACTGCAGCATCTAATGAGGTAACATATATTCTGTATCGTCTTTATTTAGTGTCTTTTATTCTGTATTTAATTTGTATATTCTTTCTGTCATCTTTTGAAGCACTTTATATTTTTAATTTTATATTCTACACATGCTTTATAAATAAAAATCCAAGTGCAACATCTTCATTTTGCAAAAAAGTTATCAAAATGGTTAAACAAAATGGTATAGAAATATTAGCGCGAATTTTAAACGGTATTAAAAATATGTTTATGAAATGTGAAAGATCTGTGGTAGAGAAATAAGCATATTTCAATTTCGTAAGACATCCCAAAAATGCATCCACACCTTGGCTGAACACACAGTGTTAATAACATACGGTTTACTTTCAAGAAGGAAAAAAAAGAGGAATATATTTTTAATTAATGTTTTCTCATTAATATAGCCTTTTTTTTCATCGCTGCAAACATTCTGCCATTGAAATTGTGCATCATCTGCTCATGTTGCTAATTGTCAATAACAGAAATGCAATCTTCGGTGCGGATTATCATCACTGAGATCCCGGTATTCTTGGAATGTAACATTTCTAATAAATAAAGCTACAGAATGCGATCAGCACTTGATTTTGAAATTCCTGTTTTATGATGTGCTTGCCTCACAGATTTTCTTGCCTTATTGTGGGCGTTGATGTCCGCATTCTTCCCAGAATATTTTATGGACCATTCTCAACGGTTCCATCTGCTTCAAATTTCTTTCTAATTCGTATGATATTAAATCATGTAGATGGATCTGTTTAGAATTCTCTCCTAAGCTATCTCTTTACTTTGATTGCATTATTAAATTTTATTATAAATTGCATTTTAGAATAAATTCAATTTTCTTTGTTCAAAGCTTAGTACGACTGCATTCATTACTTGAAATCAGTTAAACCTGAAAAGAAGAAAAATTATTGAAATCAGTTAAAACCTGAAAAGAAGAAAAATTATTGAAATCGGTTAAAACCTGAAAAGAAGAAGAATTAATTTTTAATAGCTATTAAAATGCGTATATCTGGGGCATCTTGTAGTACTATTCCAACAATGTAAGAATTACATTAAAGTCATCAGGTTCTTTTTTATCGTACGCATAAAAAATTATTAATTTTATGGATGCTATTTAAATAAAAAATGATGTATAAAGTTATTTTGCAGAAACTGTGTTTACGCAAACTAGACTTAAATCCAATGAACTTTATTTACGAATAACTGCTAAGTTTAAAAGTGGTTAAGACACATCACTGAATGTCAAAAAGTAAAACTGCAAATATTTTTAAAATGATAACACCATTTTCTTTGTTTTGTGAAATTTAGATTTTTTGTGGATGTTCGACTGTAGCAAGTATATAAGAATATTTGAAATTATACTTAATTCTAAGAGTTGAATTAGTTATTAATTGATCACACACCTGTTATCTCACGTGCGTAATGATTTTTCCGTAAGATAGCTGGAAGAGTAAATATTCTTTTAGATAAAACTGAGTTTATTCTTCACATACTTTAAATAAATTACTATAAGGTTAGTTTCACGACATCAAAGACTTCTAATGAATATTTTGTATTTTCAGTTGAACATCGAAAAGAACTGTGGTAAAGATGATATATGCATTCCCGATCTTCAGCTTTTTGTCATATCGTAAGTAATTATAAATTGAACAATAAAATAACTTGTATAATCATGTAAACTTATTTTCTTTGGTACATTAGAGTAATATTAAGAGTTGAGAAATTTATTACATAAATTTATTTTGTTATATTATTCCATAAATTTGAAATAAATGTTGAAGGAAACCTAATTAAATAATTTATACTTTTATTATGAGATTAATTTAGCAGCATATCTAAGACGCATTTTAAATTTATTGAATATTGAAACATATTGTAAATTTCTTATTTATTAAAACAATAAATTTATATAGTTGTTGAAACAATTGATAAAATGTGCTAATTATTAAAAACAAAAAAAAAAAAAAAAAAAAAAAACCCAGAAAATTTCAGTTAATTAAATGCCGAGTAGAGGAGTAATTGACACAATGAAGCATTTTGTGCAGTAATGTGCAAGGTATTTCGAAATGATTAAAATGCGATGATTAAAATTCGAAATTGCGATGATTAAAATGATTAAAATGCGAAATGATTGTATGATTCTTGAAGATTAGTCCCAATCTCATAGTTCAGTTAAGCTTTTATTTTGGAACATTTTTAGAAAACACCGATTTTGGGCAGGTTTAAACAATTTTTTTAATCTGTATGATACCTGTAAGGAAGAGGAATGTTAAGCAATTTGCCCTCCTACAGTCAGATTTACTCGAGATATCACTAAATTTCAAAAGACTTGCACACACACACACACATATATATAAACTAAAGCTAGTAACGCATTTAATTTTTCGAATGCAAATTTTTAAAGCATGTTTAATTTCAGAAAATCAGAATATGGAATCATTTTAAAGTCTCATCTTAAAAAATCGCTAAAATTCGAAAAATCTAATGAAATTAATTTTTATACGGTTGTTAATGTAGCCTTTTCACTGCTGTTTTCATCAGGTGAAAATTATTTAAAACATGCAATTCTGACAATTTTTTTAGGAATAGTTTTGTATATTACAGAACCGATTACCTTCCATATGTTCTTTAAAGGAAAACTTATCATGCTACTATTACGTATATGCTATTACTAGAATTTTTTATGCCAGACTTTTTATGGAGGGTCCGCATAAAATTGCAGTATTCATGTCACTTAATCCTGAAAACTTGCTTTATCGTTTCATTCTAAAACTGCAATCGTGAGCCTGCAATTAACTGTTTTCTAGTGAAGTTTAGCCCTGCAATCTTTTTCAAACCGTCTGTGCAAGGTCTATGAAAATAAAAGTACATAAAGCTAATTGCGCTTTAAGACACCAGAAAAAAATTCCCACATACGAATATGCATAAAGCAATGTTGCTAATGGTGCTAAAAATTAGTACACTGATGTTAGTAAAAATCCCACCAGTGTGTAATTATGAGAATTCTTCTTACAGAAAGATGCAGGCTGCTTGGAAAATCAGCAGAAGTTAAGCAGACAACTTTTGTTTAGAGATTAAACTATGTCAGCAACAACTGTTGACATTTTAACTTTTTACCAGTTCCTTTTAAAGGGGTTACATAAGTTTAAAGGGAAAAAAATTGTAAAATTTCAAAATAGTCATTCCTTGGTTTTAGTTCAAAATAGTCATTCCTTGGTTTTAGTTCAAAATCCGGCTCTTTCGATTTTTTGTCACTAAAGCAAAATGAATTTACTGTTTACCTGTTCTTATTCTTTGCAGTAAAGAATTTAATTTCTTCTAAAAACATTTAACAATTTTATTTTTCAGAAATATGGACCAATATTCAATTGGTACAAAGAAAAGGTTGGAGTTAGATATAACTATTCGAAATGCAAAAGAAGATGCTTTTGAAGCCATGCTGTATGTCTCGATACCACTGGACGTAAATTACGTTAATATTGATCGTTCAAAACTAGTAAGTTGTTTATCATAGTTTCAAAGTGTACCATTGATGCAAATTTTACGGGCATTTCAAATACAGAAACAAATACGAAATGCAATAAAATGCTTTTTTTCCCCTAAATATAAACTATTGAATAAATAATAATAAAAAGTGACTAAATATCATGCATCATTTTCATGAATTAAATACTATTGCTTATTAAAATAATACATCTGTAATCAATAAATTTTCAAAGTGTATTAAATTTTTATATGGTTGGAATGGAATGGAAAGCAATTTTTAATTTTTAGAGGAGCTTTTATAACGATGATAGTCTTTACAACAGTTAATAAACATACGAGTATAACCTTAGGATACGGTAAATAAAATGATATTGGAAACTAACAAAGGGGTTGATATGGTATATTGATATACGAAAAAACTGAAAGTATCATATGATTTATCAGTTACTTATGAATCCAGCAACTACTATTGAGAATTTTAGAGATTTAGGCACTAATGTCACATAAAGAGGTGACCTTGTAAGGATCCTAAGTTTTACTATCGTTTATTTTATTTTAAAACTTTTCTATCTTTCTTATTTTCCACTTCCGGCCAGAATTAGATGCTTTAACTTGTTTATGCAAATAGTACTTGCTAACGCCCAAGTATTTAAGTTGTGGCTTTTTGCCAAGAGTTAGAGAGAGAGAGGAAGCGAGCCGCTTACCACTGCATTCTTACGAGTTTTTAATCAGTTGCTGCTTGCCTTTTAAGGCCAGAGGTTTAGCCCTCTTGATATTTGATAACGTATTGTAGTTTCAGCAGTTCGGCATACGACACACGTACCCTTTTAAAAAAGGCCAGTCTTAGTGTTAGGCATTTGTGCACTAATTCAAAGTTAGCTTTTAGTTAGTAGTTTTATATTTTTTACGTTTAGACCAGAAGTGGTTGGTCTCTGTATCCCGAAGTACGGGAGCACCTGTAAAATAACAGAGAATAAAGAGTTCGGTATACCCTTCCTGCTTGTGTCGTCTATTCCACACAATCTGGAATATAGCTTTAGTAAGCTTTCGGTTCTTATTCAGGATACGTTATGTTCCGAAGCAAGTTAAAACACATACAAGTCCTGACAACCTGGCAGATCATGTAAGCTCTAGAAATGTACTGAATTTCTTACTTTTCAGACCTGGAAAAGTCATGAAATTCGAAATTTTTTTTTAAGTTTTGGTAATTCAAAATCTTTTTAAACTTATGTGAGAGTTGGGAAAATTGTATGAATACACTGACACAGTTGTGCACTTGGAGAATTTCCAACACAAAATTCCTTTTTAAAGACTGGTTTTCTCTACAGCATAACGTCGCACATAACATACAGATAATTCGTCGTCACTATCTCAGCATCAGAACGATGAAAAGGAAAAAAAAGCCTCATTAGCATCTCATGGAAAAGTTAAACACAGAGCTGAAGCATTTATGATTAGAAAGCCTGTAGATGATTTTGCGATTTAAGTGACTGATGTAACGTACTTTACATCAGTTTCAAGTCAAAACGTTTTCGCACAGAAGAGTCTAACGCCTCCCGCTCTACCTAGCTTGTTAATTATATATATGTATATATATATATATATACGTATATATATATATAACTAGAAATTAAGAATACGGAAAATTAAAATCGGTCAAATAGAAGGAGAAAACAAAAAACGTGAAATTAAGGACACTGAAAAATTAAAACTGCTAAAAGATTTTTATCGTATTTAACATGTAAAATATTAATGAGTAAATTTTCACACTTTTCTGTGAACAGGCCTTCCTATAAAAGAATTGTTTTCTATATAAGTATGGTAATGGAAAATTATGGATATTTTTTTAATACAAAGAGTATATATTGTATATGAATAGCCCATAATATTAGCAATGTACTGAACAAAACACTATTTATTTAAACCTCGAATGATTGACACTAATAGGTATTGTGACAACGTTCTAATGAACCAATTTCGTTTAAAATCTACTGTTCTGTCCTCTGCCAGGTTGAACGTTGTTTTATTTACAATTAAGAGAGGTCACAGTAGGTGTTTTTTTAAATTTCGGCCTGTTCGTGTATAGTATGTCTACCACGAGACGAGACTTGGTTTCACCTGTTAGGAAGAGGAGTTCGTTTCACTCCTGGGAGAGACTCAGAGATCCCATACTATATCATGGAGGTCTTCGCTGCCCATACGTGCCAAGTGTGTGCATTATAGCAAGCTTTCCTGGTGAACTATGCCTTATCTCTGAACCAGACGAAAATTAGAAAAGGGGGGGGGCTGTCATAATATTCTGGAAGAGAGGGTAATCATCACGTTGCAGTAGATTTATGCGATATTCGTAATATGGGTGCAATTGGTTTGTGTTCAAGACCCTCCAGATGATGTTTTGAACTAGAAGTAGCAATGGCTAGATTTGTCACATGCCTTCTGTATGACAAAGCACCATCTCTCCGATTTCAAGTATCTATGCCATTCGTCTGTCCTTCGTGTATCTATCACGTCTTTCGAAGGAACTCATTCTATATAATATTTAATGCAATCGTCTGGTGGTTTGAAGCGCGCTTTATTGGTTAGCGCTTCCGGTACATTCGAACATGGGCTAGCCCATTACAATCAGCAGCTCCATATGCTAGATGAATAACTGCCAACTTCGCATTCATGAAACCTTCCATCCTATTACCTCAATGGTCAGTTGTCAAAAGATGATTATTCTGAGTCGTCGTTTTACCGCTTCTCACAACTCTGTCGGTTTACGACTGGATTTCCGAACCTGCGTTACTGTCCGATCCCGATTCATATTCGAGTAACTCGTAGAAGATTGTACACGCGGTTATGTACATTATAACAACTTTATATTATCCTTTATATTGAAAACCATTAAATCATTGAGTTCCAGAGGAAAGAAAAGTTAACCTAAATTACTTTCACGAATTTAGTAAAGATTTGAAGTTCACTGTATAATTAATTTTTAGCCCCGTCAATTCTAATAAAAACTAACTGTTTATTATCATTTAAATGGACTCTTTTTATTCTTCTTTTTTCATAGGACTTCCCTGTTAGTTGCAGTGGAGCTCAGCCCGAAATCACAGGAGTCAATGAACTTATTTGCGACATTGGAAATCCACTTCCAGCCAACAAAACGGTATGTGATTCAATTTCCTAGGTGAACTTGAATTGTCATGCTGCTATTGCACAGTCTTACACAATTCGTGTAAATAACTATACCTCTGTCGAATACTAAATTAAGCATAGATATGAAATATGTTGTATTTTCTATTACTAATCAATCCTTTTGTAATTACATTGCCACTCGAAAAGGCCCAGATTAAATTAAATACAGAAAATTACCAGTAACTTGTGCTTATGTACGTAGAACGTTTTCGAAGTATCTCTAATAATTAATTACCGTATTTAAAACATATAGCAATTTTTTTTACGTAATATTTTATTTAAATTATATAAACATTTACCAAGGTCTTGTCAACATCCACCACATCCAATCCACAACATCCAATTAAATATATTTTAAAAATTCACTATAAATAGGAGCACACTGTTACACTAAGTTCAAGTTTTCCATTTTATTTACGTAAGTGTAAAAGCGTGACAAAAATGCAAACTTTGGTTAGCATAAATGTCACATGCAATTCCATCGATTTCTAAGACAACTGAGGCTGGAATTGATCAGAGAGACACTTTAAAAGATACAACCGTGAAATTTTGAGATTGTACTTGATTGCTCGACTTAAAAGTAGTAGCTGTTAAGAATTTTAAGAAATCTATTTCTCTTTAAGATAATTATTATAATTAAATAAAGTAAAGATATTGTTAATTTTTGGTGTAATTATAAAATGAAAATTAAAATAATATTTGTAAACGAAAAACTTCAGAGTTGGCTTGAATATAATTCAGAATAAATCGTTACAGATATTCTTAATTGTACACAAAATAAATTTAATAGTCATAAACGTGATGATATTTTGAAACGTTCTTTGTTGACGTAAATAAATTGCACAACTTATTAGATTGAAATCTCACGTATGATACTAATATGAGATAAATGATTAAAAATTGGTTTTGAGTTATAAAATTTCAGTAAGTCGCATTTTATTTTGTGAAATTTTCTTGTGGTAAAGCTACATCACTCGTCACCATGTGTAAAAAATATTTGGAAAAAAAAAATTCTTTAGGTATTCAGGCTCCAAGCAACTTTCCATTGCCAGTTTTACCATGAATTCATGGTGTAGCAAATCCAAAACCGAGAGAGAGAAGGAATGAGAACAAACTGGCGTAAACATATGTGGGGGCACCAAAATCAAGTGCTAATAGAGGGCCTTTAAAATTTCGTAATCCGCCCCTGCACATAAAACTAATTAAAGTAGTCATCTGCAGAAGATTACTGAGAAAAAGTACGAACTTTGTAATTAGAAATGTAGGTTTTATATTGTGAATAACGAATTATTTATAAATACAATATATTCAGTTGATTTTTTTTTTTTTTTTACAGTTGAATTTCAAAATCCTCCTGGAGCCATCTCGCGTTGTATCTTCCACCAGTGATCTTGTGTTCTCTATGATTGTAAACAGGTACATTCATTGTTATGATTATTGAATGCAAGCAATGTGAATATTTCTCAGAGTATGTGCGATTCCGTTTTAGACTTTCTGAGTAAGAATAATTTCACATAATTGTCTCTAGCTGTTTTATTTTTTTTTTCTTTCTTTCGAATTTTTAGTACAAATGCTGAAAGTAATGATACACTGTTCAATAATGCATTTGAAATAGAACTGCCAGTGCGGGTTGAAGTATCTATTGCAGTTAGAGGGTGCGTATTATTTTTTCCTTTCCTTGCATGAGCATTATTTTCTTCCTTATTGAATGTTATCACATATATTTTAAAACTTATCTACATTGTAGCTGTGTTTAACCAAATGAGTGCTTTACCCGAAAACTTTGCATAAGTTCCGTTGCTTTCAGCTTAAAAATATTTTCTTTTCGACGTTATTTACGAACAGTTTTAATAATTAATATGTAAAAGGTCAATTATTGCACCTATCAAACTACTGCTGTTTTGTAAGGAGTTAAGTTTCGCGCTTCTACTGATAATCACAGAAATGAGTAAATGAAACAAATTTATTTTGTGCTAGCTTGGATTTATAATTTAACAGATTAAGGAGAAGCACTGTAGCTCGCAGACTATACAAATGTGGTGGTGTCCCATTTCAATCTGTGTTAGATTAAGCGAAAGATTTGTCCCATTTCAGTCCAAAATGCGCTTTCTAGCTGCTGGGCTGCAAAATGCAACGCAAAGAAAGACAAAATTTATTAAAGCCAAATTTATTTCAGAGATTACGTATAGTATCAATATTAGTTGATTTGAAATATAGCCTTCTTTGAAGTCAGAAAGACGAGAAAATCAGTAATGAGTGATTCCTCCAAGTTTGTCAATAACCGCTGCTACACGCCGTGGCATTGAGTGAAAAAGGCTTTGGGTGTGTTATTGGGGAATGGCAGCCCAAATGCTGCCTCCACTTGAAGCCAGAGTTCATCTGGTATACTGATGCGGCAGGCCGGGTTAGGCTTCTCCAGCCATTGACTAAACATGTTGGATGGGTGATAGATTTGGAGAACAGGCAGGCCAGTGTAACAATGCAAAATGGCGGGCTAAGGAAAAAGCTTGAACACTGTGCGCAACTTGTGGTCGCGCATTATCCTATTGAAATGTGGCTGCAGACAAGCTTTGAAAATAAGCAAGAAGAACAGGCTGAGGAACGTCAGAGATATAGCGTTGGCTGGTAAGTGTACCTATAATTTCTATTAGGGCAGTGCGAGAGTGGAATCCAATACCACCCTGTACTATAACAATGGGTGCAGGACCAGTATGAGGATGCATAACACAACGGTCGAGCAGCCTCTCTCCACGGTGTCACCAAACTCTTGTCCCATCGTGATACTGCAAGCGGAAGCGTGTAATTCGTCCGAAGACACAATGTCATGCCATTCGGATGTCCATCTCCGCGATGTGCACCATTGCAAACGCAGACGCCTGTGGTTTAACTCTTTCGCATCGAGAGAGGACAAAATCGCTTTTTCTCAAATTTCGAAAACGCTCGTGTATACGAATTTCTTTTAGAATGGTTTTCCTTCCCCCATGACAAGTAGAATGCTACAGTGCTAACAATAGCCTACTTAAATAAAGCGACAACTTCTTTCTTGCACTCTTTCACCTTGTTGTAGTTTCCTCTTGGGATAGAGTTGCAACTGCAGGCATCAATAGCGAAACATTGACAGTAAACAAAGGAAAAAGAAGGTGCATTAAAATAACAAAACTACTTTTAGTCGCTTCAAAAGAATGACTGGCATGTCATTTAACAACTCGAGAAAGATATGAGCAATGCAGTAACGTGATGGGGGAAAGCACTAGGTAGGAAATTATTCAGGCGTTTGGGAGACCTGCCGATTTAATGGTCGGGCGTTTTGGGCGACTTCGATGCGAAAGACTTCAAGGTAAGCGAAGCAAAGGACGCCTAGCAGACAGTCCATTTCACTGTAAATGACGTCGAATTGTTCGATTGTTATCTTACAGGCTGCATTAATGCTAGATTGTTATGTTACAGGCTGCGGTATTGCTAAATTGTCATATTACAGGCTGTGATGTGATTACAGATATGACAGTGAGCTCCATCAGTGCTATGGGTACAGTATGCCTGTCTTTTCGTGGCTTGGTAGGATGAGGCGGTTGCAATTGCTCCTGTCCGTCAGTCGTTCTCTCTTGCATCCATCAATTCTATATTCGCATGTCTGTTGCTTGGCTACCTTCGACACGATGACCACTTTCCTGGAAAAATTATCTGCAATCTCTGTATGAAGCGACTCTTCCTTAATTTCACTCAGAAACGTGCTCGAATGATGATCATGTTTTCCTACGAGGCACACTGAAGCTGCACGCACAAAAAAAAAAAAAAAAAAAAAAAAAAAAACCTCACGAGAGAACAATTTACATTATTCAAAATGGCAATCGTTCTTCTCTTTATATACGGATTGTAAGGATCGCTGCAGTCGTCCATGATGTGCGCTTACGCTGAAATCGTTATCATTTGCATATTCCATCGCGTTATACACATGATGCAAATTTCATGCTGTTCGGATGCTTCCTTTGTGGTGTTGCATTTTGGATGGCCCTCAGCTTAAGAGAAACACCTCAGAGTTTGGGACAAGAATTCGCTGTTCTTAACTTCTAAAAGTTAAACATGCACTAACTGCCTCCCAAACGTCCAATTTCTTCAATTGCTTGCTCGTTTTGTTATCACTTGCTAAGCTTGGCTCCATAATTCACAATACTTCTTCTACTGATGGAGCAAAAAATCTGCATTTTCTTTATTTCTTTATATTTTTAACAAAATTACTCAACAGAAGAGAAATACAACTAACATGGATTTTTTATGTTTTAAAGCTAAATTGTAGTTTAAATTTGAAACTGAAAAGGCTAAAAAAGTTAATTTTTGTAATTTAGATTTAAAAAAATATTTCATACACATTCACTTAAATAAAACCAGAATGCATATGTTCATAAATAATTTCTTCCTCGGTAGGTCTTAAAAGTGATTAATTTGTTTAAATAGCTTGAAATTTCTATTTTTGATAGATTATTTAAAAAGAGAAAGAGAGTAGAAACTTTCAAATTTTGTTTGGAACATGTGAAATAGATTTTAATTTACATTTATTTAATGAAATTAAATTTTCTATCAGGGGCTATAGAAATTATTTCACTGCTACGTCTTATGATCTTTTATTATTATTTAAAAATGAAACAAACTAACAAGCATAACACCTATTGAAAATCGCAAGATTTTCAGATTTGATTCGATCTTCTGCATAAAGTTTCCATTTTAAATGTAAATTCTGTAGTCAGCATTAATGCATTCACGTTGTATAGGAAAACCTACAAAAAGTGCTCATAAATCCTGTCAATTTGGTAAACCTTTGCATTTTCTATAACGATGAAAATTTTAATAAGCTGATATGCAATTTCGACAGCATTGCTTTTGAAAATTGTAACCAAAGACAAGTCAATCATATCTCCTAAAAACATACTTTTCATAACTTTACTATACCGCTTTTTGAGTGGTTGTATCATTTTCTTCGAATGTTTTACGTTATAAATTAAGCACATTTTGTATTGTACATCAACTTTAAAATGTATATTCCCATGGAAGTGAATACGAATTTGCAAAATCATTATTTCAAGAACAACTATATTAGTTTTGCTATTTTAGGAAACTATTGTTTGCACAACGCTTGGTAACCATTTGGCATCAGGTAATCATTCGACATTGGAAAATATTGTTTGCATATTTAAACGTAATTTAAAGCACTGCCTTCTTGCTGTAACGTCTCTTCGGATACGAATGCGTCGAATTCTCTTTTGCTAATTTACGTAGTTTTGTTATTTTATTTCCCGATCTCTGGTATTAGCTACCAGATTTCTTCAAATTACGAAGCACCGAGAACTCGTGAATGTTCAAACTTCCATTCAGTGAGATTATATATTATTGAAGAATATTAAGGTATATGTATATTTATGGTATTGCAGCAAAGATTCATGTGGACAGATTGTGAGGATAAGATAGTGAAATTAGCTTTAGGGAAACCAGATTCTTGTTACACACCAAGGTAGCCAGGTAATAATAATAATTCACTTCGCAGCAGATAAACTAATCGTATCTCAAATCATATCCAGTTGAAGCTCCCGGTTTCAGGTAATACACAATAACTGTAAAAGACAGAAACTACGTTAATTACACCCAAAAATTTGTTTTACTTTTTTTCGTTATAACAAAATATAGATTTATCGAGAATTTTAAAAAATTGAAAAGAATTTCTATATAAAGATAAGTTTTGGAAATAAGGTATTGAGTACAGTATATTCTGTTTCTTAATCCTTCCATTTATTTATCTCTCTGTTCTCTTTTGCATTCTTAGAATTTCTGTTCCTGAAGTAATAACCTATAACAAGTCCGAGGAAATACAAGATTATAAAATCCGAGAGACAGATATAGGGCCTGAAGTGACACATGTCTATGAGGTATGCATCCTTTTCAAGTAAAATGTACTAAAATGAGTTGCATTAAATTTTTGCTTTATTGTTATAAAGTTGCATCAATATTTGTGTAACATTACACCAAGTATTAGCAAGTACTAATACCAAAGTGATAAAATAAAAAATAAACATTAAAATTACAATAGAAGTGAAAGTTTTTCCAATTAATATTATAACAGAAGCCTAAGTACAATAAATTAGTATAATTAGTGTTAAATCCTAATCTTCCTTCAAATAAGAAGCGGAAACTATATTATGGCATTTGAACAAAAATGAATTGATATTAAATGCATAAAACTACCGTTAATTTATGAAAAACTGAATTTCTGAAAGAGAATATTAATAGTAGTATTCCTTAAAATAGTAATAGTAAAAAAATCCATATAGCATGCGAATAAAAGCAAGGATGGCTATTGATCGGTTCTTGCTGTTTTCACAATAACAGCACAATAGCACAAACAAAACAAAATACAAACAAACAAAAACAAAGCACAATAACAAAAGGCAATCAATCAATTACACTGGGAACCACTTGTAACATTATTTCTTTTGAGTTCAATTTTTGATTTGTTTTAGAGTTGAATAAGCATGCTGATTTCAAAATTGTAATTAGCTTTCTTCAACCACGTCAGTTTTTTTCTCTACATATTTATGTGTATATAATCACTCTCCATGACATTGAGCATGGATCATAAGAAGTACTACTGCTCTCCTATTGACTGGCATAAGCCCTCCGATTGGCGCTGGGTGAGTGACGCCATAGGATACAAGCGACAGGTGCATGCTTGTCTAGACTAGTTCGTAGTTCACTTGCGTCTGAGATATTGTAGTGAGACGTGTGTCGCTTTGATATAGTGAAGCGCATTCAGACATGGAATCCGAGTTCTTGTGTTCTTGTTTTTATACAAAGTTAGCAGTGTTTAGTTTTTATTTATATATGAACTGAAACCTTTCCTTATGTCTGCCTCTGCTAGTTCGCGTCATAAGTGCTTAAACAACCCCGATTCGTTTTGCTATATATGTGATAGTTTTATCATTCATAGTCAAAGGACAAATATCAGCACATTTCTTGTCATCAAGCCTGTTTTAAAATGAAAATTGGTGATCAAGACAAATCGTGGGTTCTTCATAATGTGTGCAAGTACTGTGTCGAAAGTTTATGGATGTGAATAAAAAGAACACGTTTTAAATTTCCATTTTGTATACCTATGATTTGACGAGAACAATTTCTAACCACATATTTGGCATCCAAGAGGTTCAGCCAAGGACGGTCAACTGGTACGAAGAGCGCTCATGACCGACATTGTTTATTATGCACACGATGGAATAGAACCTCAACTCGGTTCCGCCCCGGCTGTAACCACTAGAAGGCTGGTGTCAACATCAACCGTGCGTAGAAGGCTTCACGAAGGAGGTCTGTATGCGAGGCGACCAGCAATTTGCGTGCCGCTCACGTCACGTCATAGAGGGAAACGTTTGAGGTGGGCACATCAACACGTTCACTGGACAGCCGATCAATAGAAGGCTGTTCTCTTTCAAGTTCAAGTTTAGCTTCTAAAGCGATAGTAGGCGTTATTTGATTTGGAAAGAACCTAGAGCCCGTTATCATCCATCAAACATCCGTCAAAGAGCTGCGTATGGAGGAGGCAGTGCCTGTGTTTGAGGTGGTATCTCTTTCGGTGGACGCACAGACCTCCATGTCTTTCCACGTGGAACCATGGGTGCTCAGACCTATAGAGATGACATGCTTGATACTTATGTGCTCCCTTATGTTGGGGCAATAGGTGATAATTTCGTGCTACAGGACGACAACGCTAGATCTCAAAAGTCTCGCATCGTGGATGATTATCTGCAGCAGCAAACAATTCAGCACATGGAGTAGCCAGCTTGATCACTGGGGGGAGGGGGGGGACTTGAATCCTATCAAGCATGTTTGGGATGATTTACGAAGACGTATACCTGCTGTCAATCCTCTTTTTTAGAACCTTGCCACGCATGCAACTGCTTTGCAAGAGCATATGGCTCTCACTTCCTACGGAACTGATAGACTGCATAATTGACAGCATCGCACACCGCTGTATGGGTTGTAATGCTTCTCTCCATATTGAGAGTAATTTTCCTGTTGCAAAATGACACATCCAATTTGTTCCTTTTATAAATATGCTAATTTCTACAGCACCGTAAGTGTTTCGTAATTTCTTTTCGTGTATTTCATACCTTACTATGCGTTGTGTCCTGTGGGTAAGCTTCATTAAATTCTACATGTAAGTTATGAGTGATCATTTTTGTGATTTTCCTCAATTAATGATAACCAGTGTACTTGATTGTCCTTTAGATTAATTCTTTCTTCGCACTGCTTCATTTTGTAGAAGATGGAGAAACATGTGTCCATTCCAGAAGCACCATTTTCTAGAAATAATGCAAGATTTTTTCAACAGCCTTCAGTTACTATGGATCACCTTTTATTATTATCTACCACTTCATCTTTCTTTACCAGTGCAATACTCTCACTGCATCCTAGATGGTGATCATCCTAAACTTGCTTCGTTCAGTCTTCAGCATAACACTTGATGCTGTCCCCATAGCTTGGAGTCCCATGCATTAAATTATTGGCCTCAAATATTCTACCTTTCCTGTGTTCTCTTAGGACTCATTCTCTGAACTATCAAACAACTTTTGCAGAAAAAGGATGAAGCTTATAGGCTGAGTCTCATCTCAAGATGTAACAGTCCATTTCACGGCATCCAACAATTAAATTTTCCTTAACTTTTCTCGTCTCACTTTTCCTCCATCGCAAACATGAAGTGAAGAAAGACCTTCATGTTTAAAGTTTTTCGTTAATGCTGTGAGAAAACTCTAATCCCTTGGACGACATAATATGGAAGGGAGAAAACGGTCTAATGGTCTCGCAACTGTTTATTAGAATGCGAAGAGGCATTGTCTAGGATGAAATCTGTTTTCCTACAGTACACTCTTGGATTTCCTAAATTTTTCATCGGAAAATTAAAGTATTGGTAAAAACAAATCCGTAAACATTGTCCATCCATCCATGCATTCAAATGACTTCTGTACCAAACAGGTGGGTCACTCTTGTTTTCGTACTCACCAGGATTTGTCATCTTCCCAATTAGCAGATTCAGTTCGTACCAGCGCTGTGTGCTGATTGCAAATCTTTCTCTGCTGGTCTAGAACAAATTTCTCAATCACAGAAGCGCTCTTCAAGGCAACATTCAAAAATTCAGGCCAGTTTAATCGCAGTTGTAAATTTGTCTCTGGGAAGCCCATCTTTTTCAATCAGTTTATGAATATTGTCTTTAAATACACAAATATTTTCCATAAACTGAACACGTTTTCTTAGCAATGCTCAACTTTCTGATTGCGTATTTTATTTTCCATTCGTCAATTCAACTATGATTTTCAAAAAATCCAGTATCTGTTTTTTCTCGAAAGTGTTCATAAAATTTTACGACTTTTACTTGTAGAATGACGCCTGTTATGCTCTTATTTACTAAAATCATTTTTATGGAGTCTAACGTATTTTTATATATTCAGCTGCTTTCATAGTTTCCCCTCCCCCTTTCTTTCCTTTAAAGTTCCAATAAAAGCTCGCTTTACTAACCACCATTCAGTTTCTAATATCTTCTTTTTTCCATTTCTTCCCTTCCAACACCTATATCCATTGCAGTTTTATTTATACTTTATTAAAGCCAACCTTTTAATACATCTATTTATTTCCAGTTTGATACTGTTTCGTTGTGTTTTTGTAAGATATTTTCACGACGTGGCACAACTACACGGCCCAACATTCTGATTTAAGACAAAAAGATTTACTTAGAATGGACGCCTCAAGGCCAGGTCAACATTCAATACCATCCTTTCATCATAGGCCGTTGTGTGTTGCCCGCTCTGGAGGCAATTCCAAGGTGAATAATATGTACACAGATATCAAGCAAGAACCATCCTTTCCAAGAACTGAATTATCTTCGAACTAAACATTAATAATAAAATTAAGTTTATGAAAAAACGAAAAGTTATATTTAACTCCCACCCCTTTTTAATACGAAAAATTTAACGTAATGTCGAGTTCAAGTTATCTGTAGTCGAAAAAAGTTTGTCGGACTGCTTGTGTGCATTGCATGTTTTAGGTTTTAGTGCTTAGGTTGGGTTACTTGAATAAGGTGTAGCACACGACGATTGTGTATCTTTCTAATGGTTCGAACGATATACGTACCATTAAAAAAATAAAGATATATATAAAAATATATCAGTCAACTAAAAGTGGAAACCTACCCAATAATGGGAAAAGTACAAATCTAATAGTAGGAAATATAAACTAAGAAATCAGTCCTGAAACAGTTGAATCAAAACAAAACAGTTTAATACCAGAAGCTGAAAATTCTTCGATCTTTGACATTGCGGCAGCCAAGAAAATTATCAAATGATGGCTGTGAAACTGCTTTATGGAGAAGTAATGATCAATCATAAAAATGTGCTTTGCTTGGGAAAAATTCATGTCTATCTTGCGCCAAACAAACGCTTTGTAAAGTTAACAGCATTAAACTAAGTTGGCAGTAATTTTTGCGGGTTTGAATTCCACTGGCCGTATAACTTGACTTCAGTGCATTCTTACCCATTTCCTCATTTAATAAAGTGTATTCTGCTTCCCTCAGAGAATCTCTCACGAAGGCAACTCGCCTAAACGAACTCTTTTGTGCATTTACACGCCTTCTTTTCATGCAATCTTATAGTAATTTAAATATCGGACTGTTCTCTTTCCTTATGTACATAGGTGGGAAATCAAGGTCCCAGTTCTGTCAAGCAAGCCGAAGTGTACATTCTTTGGCCTACTTATACACTGGAAGGTAAACATTTGCTTTATTTGATGGCTCAACCAGATGTAAGAGGAAATGCTCAATGCGATCGAATTGATGATGTTAATCCTTTGAACCTACAGGTAAGAACAAAAAAGTTTTAAGCTTCTTTTAGCAAATATGTTTACGATTTAGTTACAATCGAAATCAACAAAACACTTCAATTTAACCTTTCTCTTTTACCTTTAATTACTATTTTTGTTTAATTTTTATTTATATATTTAAAAACATTTTTCACTGTGTAAACGAATTCAATTTTCTTAACAGAAATAGGGTAACGCATAAGATCTATTATACCACGAATTTCATGTAAAGTTTTAACTTCAACGCTAAAGTATGGAGTTAATGAAATTTTTTTATTCAGGTTTCGTCGAAATCCTTGCCTTCAAATACCTAGGATACTAATCACAACGTATGACAATCGCGCATTTCGGCAAACCCATACCACGCAGCGAATGCAGAAAAAAAAAAATTCTTCATTTGTGATTGAATAGCGTTCAATAGCACCAATATCCTATTCGGCTAGAGAATGACGCTATTTGATCCCGACGTATTTCTTCGTACTATTTGTTTACATTTTATTTGTAGCCTTAGATTATAATTTTATTAATAGAAAGACAATGTGGTGCGTCATGTGTGTGTTACCATGAGATTATATTTCTTACTGCATTAACATGTGAGTTTAACACAAAAAATGCAATGTTTATGGAAGATGATGATTAAAATTGCATAGTATATACTAACTCCATCAATGTGTATTAATAATGAATTCAGCCGAAGTTGAATTTGTCTTCCTGTAATAAACTTACAGTATTTCCAACTTTATTCTTGTTGCAAAATTTGTGATAATTATATCTTAATATTTGTAGGAAGTTCGCCGTCGACCAAGAAATCACAATTTGAGCGTTCAAGACTTGAAGGAGCATATGCTTCTTAATAAACACAAATTCAAAAGTATGGATTCCATTCATGAAAACATGGTTCGAAGCAAACGGAAGAAGAGAGATGATTCTTACGTTATGTCTGATGAAAGCGAAGAACGCTATCTCAGCGACGAAGGAGAAGATGCTTTTCTCGAAGAACTGGTAAATAGTATATGCATGATAAAAATTAATTAATTTTAACGGAGCAATCCAATTCATTGAATTACAAATATTTTACAGATTAAGAGGCGATGCTACATTGATGCTGTTGAGTTATTATGAAAATAGATTAGTACGTTAAAATAACAGGAAGGTATTTTAAGATATTCACTGGTCTAAAGAAATATATCAGTTTCTCTAGATAGCTCAGACATATTAGGAAATACTGTTACACCTACTTCTATTCTAGTTAATATAATATACTAGTAAAAAGATTTATTTAGAAATTTCAAATAATTCATTATCAGCAAAATATACAAAATAAGAAAGAAAATACAACATTAACTGTTCCAGAATTTCAAAAATAATCTTTCATTAATAGCTGACAAGAAGGAAAAAAAGAGATTAGAATTTGGTTTTCTTACACACGCACCGCTTTACCGCCTTTTCTCTTACGTCTATGCCTAGTATTAAACTTATTAAATAATAATCTAAGTATAAGAAATTAAAATTAAATATGTTTTCGTTTACTTGCTTAAGATTTTTTAAATGCATAAAAGTTGTATATATTTTAAAATGACTGTGGGTTATATATATTTTATCTGCTAATCTAATTTAAAAAATAACAGAAGAAGCTCTTAAAAATTTTCTCTAATGGACACACAAAATTTTTTATCAATGTTTTTGCTATGCAAGGGAAATTATCTTTATATCCCAGAGGAGTATTTACTTAAAAGTAGCAATAAACTAACTATATAAAATTTCTAGGAATGATAAGTTAAAAAAAATGTTTGAAGTATCGACGTTAATTGTAGCAGTTTTGGTAAGGAAAAAAAATCCTACTGTATCGCAGAGAGTGTCTCAAGTCGATGATGTCATTTCAATTTTCTTACTTTGGCCTTTCTTAAAAATTGTGACATTTGACCTTCTACCTATTATTTCAGTTAATTTTTAGTGTTTATTTCATTTTGCATTCAAAATGTTTGTTTGAAAGTATACACATAAGTTTTTCTGAATATTTTTGCAATAAAAAATATTTCATTTATTTTAGATGTAAAATAAATGAAAATAGGTTGCAATAGAAGAAACTTCTATCGTTTGAAATATTTTAGTAATAATTATGTTATTAAACGTATCCAATATGACCGAATAAAAACATTTAATTTAAAAATTTTGTACACGCACTGTATATTGTTTTGAATTTTCTTTCTACTTTACAAGCCTCTAATAAGTTTAAAGTCTTGCAGGATCCCCTTCAATAAGATATAATACATCTTGCAGTAAATACAATTAGATGCAGCAACTGGTAATTTATGCTGAAATGAATTTTCACTTTTGTTTGATGACGATTCGACCACTGATAAAGACAATTTTTATACACTTTTAGGACAATTTTGGGACCGTTTAATAAATGTTTAAAAGAGTTTTTTTTTAATGTTCGATCTGATAGTCTTTTTTGGGGGATTAGTCTAAGTCTGTGTCGTGATTTTCGTGATTTCCATGACAGAAGGGCTTTTCGCCTGAATTCCATTCTTTTTCCATTACTTTCCAGAGTCTATTATATGTGAGTTCCACTTACAAAGAGCTCTTTTCAAGAGACCAAACGCACATTAGTCCATAGGTGAAATGTCACAGGTCTTTGGAGGAATACAAGTACGTTGAAAAGGTATATTTGCAATACATGTATCAGTCTTGAGTTTTTCAAGGAATACAATGGTACTTTTTAAAGTTTGACACGTTGCTTTGTCTTGATGAAGTTTCACTTTTTGAAAGTCATTTGGATGAAGAAGTGGAATTTCTTCTGTAAATATCGGAGTTAAAACTTTCTCTTGATAGTACGTGAAGTTGATTTTAACGTTTTTTTCCTACTCTTCTTAATGAGAAATCCTGCGACAGTCATAAACTCTTTACTGAAACTTTCTTTGCACTGACGAAAACAGGTTTGTATATTTTGTTCCCTTCGTTTTCATTAATGAGACAGTGTTGTGCAGGTCTTAAAATAAACTCATGCATCATCAAAGATCACAATGTATTTCCATTTATATCCTGTTGAATAATTTTCATACAGGATTCTACAAATTGCTCTGCGTAGTCTCGTCTACACGTCTCGGCAAAAGCTGGAAGATATTTCTCATTTCAAATAATAACCTGTTGTGAGAAAGTTTCATTCTAAAACATTTACTTTTTCTAAATTCTCTATCGAAATCGTTCTAAAAATATGTAAACACTCTCTTTGTAATTAATTTCGAATATTCTGAGTTATGTTCAAGTTAACCAAGTTGAATAAATATTAAAAATTAACTGCTAACGCATAGAGGTTACATATCCATTTCATAGTTTAATGTGTGCTACTTGCACATTTCATAGTTAATGCGTGCAACTTGCACACATTAAACTGTGACATGTGCAACTATTATTTGCAACTTGCACTCAAAAGCATGTCTTAAATGATGAAATTAGTTTCACAGAAAATTAAGAGTATGTTGCCATAAAACTGCTAGCTCAAATTTGTTTAATGTTTCCATATTATTTTATCATAAAGCTCAATGTATTAATGCTTTTAACGTTTATATTATCTTCTTCGAAGAAGTTGGGAAAAGGCTTCTAAGTTACATATAAGACAAAGTTACTGTAGGTAGCAGGCGTTATAAGAAATAACATTACTTTAGGGAACAGCCGTTTGCTTTTAAGTCAAGGAATTCTTTTATTTTTTATTTGTTTCAACAATGTAATATAAAAACTTATTCGAATTGAAGTATTCAACTGGTATTCAATCTTTTGATATTAAAACGTGATCAAAATGATAAAAGATATGTTTAAAATTTTATTTTGCAGTCTTGTGGACCTACATTGTGTACAAAAATTCGATGTACTATCTCTAACTTAGAAAAAGGGGACCAGGTTATTTTTAGTATACGTTCCAGGCTTTGGAGAGAAACGTACAACGAGGTAAGTCCTAAATCTTCTTTTTTAGAATCAGTTTAAAAGGATTTCCAATAATTAATAACTTGCTTAAAAATAGAGATTCATGCATATAATACAATAACCTCGCATCACATTATATAATGTAAATTATGTTGGTTTATCTAGGTTGCATCAATTTTTGCAATCGGATAGCAGAGCAAAAAATTAACATTCTGGGGTACCATTTTTAATGTTTAAATAAAAATAACGAGATGGGAATTTTGTAAAAATGACCATGATACAGCGTTTGAAAGATAAACTACAATGGAATGCATCACATTTCATCATAGCTCATTGGCTAGAGGAGTTAACCAGAGTTATTCAATTGCAATACAAGGGACACACTCGTAATGGCTTAATTGAAAACAACAACAAAAAATTACAAAACTGGATAAAAGCTATGTGTAATAAATTTCCATGAATATATAAAATCTTAAAAAATATTAAAAAGTTTTTCTGTTAAGTAAAATCTGATGCACGAATGTAAGCAAATTAAAAACTTTTCTTTTACGCATTTTGGCTGAAATCTGGCCATAAAAAATAGAATTTATTAGTAATAACACCTCAATTTTTTTAAAAGGGGGGATTTTTGTTAGATATCTTTTTCGGAAGGTATGAAGCCCCTGTTGATGTCTGAAGAGGAGAAGAAAGAATTTTTCGTGCAGATGGGTTTTAGGTCTTAAATTCCCACCTTCTTTTTCTTTCTTATATAGTTAGATGACATCGTTTCAGAGAATCGGATTCTGGTAATTTGCACTGGCTCTCTGTCCATTTTTGCGACGCTGAATACACTGTATAATACATGTTGTTCGCAAATGTCATCAGATACCTTCATGCAGTTGCTTACTTAACATGGTTTTTATTTGATTTTTCCTTAATTTACAGAAATCAGTATAAAACTTACACTGAGAAATAATAAAACCATGCAGATAATACATTGAAAATATTTTGCTGTCCAAAACTAACAGTCCCTAAAAGCAATGTTTGATGCATTTAAAATACTCTTAATAATCGTTTTGTGAAATTTTACTTTTTAACAAACTGTACTATGAACACATACATAACATGATTGTATAATGTATTACTTTCTCCGAGTTAGTTCATCGTTGTTAAATAACAAGAAAGCACCCAATCTAGTCTTCTGTTTTCAAACCAGACCAAAGCACAAGTTCATGCTGCTATATAAATAACGATAATACATACGATTTAAAAAATAAATTATGTATTTTATAGTTGTTTCTATTATTACAATATTATTTAACCATTTTTATAGTTTTTGATTCAATTTGTATATAAAAATCAGGCAAGAAAACAATCTTAGATTCACTGGTTCTTTACATAAAATCTGTTTTGATCTCTACAAAACTGTACATAAATCTGTTTCGCTTTTGAAGGCGACTGACACATATGCCTCTTCTTCAGCCAGCAAAAATATTCTGAATTTGTTTCGCCCTTTTTATAACTCTTGAAACTGATAGAGTGTTTTATATAAAATTTGCGCCATTTTAAGATTATTTGCTTTTTAATTTCTCTATTTTACATCAGCATGTGTCTCTGCTAATGATAGAATTTTGGTATTCCTTGAAGAAGATGGATCTGTGTCAGTTGTGTCGAAACCGAACATTTTTATATAAAAGCTACGTTAATCTAAGCTATTGCAAACAGCCAAGTAGTAAAATTGTTGAATATTGATAGTTCGACCATATTTGAATCTCGCGAAAGGGAAGGCTGCATGGAAGTTTTCGTGGTTTTCCTCATGTGTACGTGAATTCGAGCCATTTACCTTTAAAAAGTCTCTCTGCGAGGACATGTTTAGCGGATACCATTGGTGTGCGTAGCCACAAAAATAAAATCTTTTTTTTTATGGGTGTCTAATTTAAAATTTTGCTTTGGCATGCATCTCTTCCCTACATTATATGGCAATTAGACAGTAATTCTGAGAATTCTGTTGCTATTTTAGGAAACTTTTGTCCGAAGGACCGCATAAAATCGATACTTTTACATAAACTGCTGAATATTGATAAAATGACTTGGGTTGAAATCCGCTGGACAAACTAGCTGCATGGCTGTTTTCGCCAAGTGTAACGTGAATACGAGCCAGTTTCCCTCCTTCACAAAGATATCCTTCTTTTCAGGCACTTAGCTTTCGCTTTCTTTGTTTTAATCAATTTATCTAATCTTAATATAAGATCAGGTTCGTTGCTTTTCCTTATAATGCATTTAAAAAGCACAATAGATATTAAACACTATTGCAATGCTTAAAATTAATACTTTAGAGCCAACTATCGCAATAATGAGCTACACGATTCTGGTTATTTTTTGTATAATACAAATTTACTTTTTTTTTTTTTTTTTGTTTGCACATTTGATACTCTAAAGCAGGGGTCTCCAAACTTTTCAGCCCGCGGGCCATATTGGGGCTTTAACGAAGCTTCGAGGGCCAAGATCCAGTTAGTTCATCATCCATGGCGATGCAACTATGATGAACAGCATACAAGTTTTTTTAAACGAGGCAGTAAGATTTTTGTGATTGGATCTATACGCTATGACCTTACAAAGAGATCCTTTTTTTTAGACTTTCATGCATTTTTCACCTAACATAAATTTCTTAAAGCTGTTTTTTGAACATTTGCAAAAATATAATTTTGTCCAAGAATATTAGATTTCTTCGGTTTAGTATGTACTTTGCTTTTCAATTGATTTATCAGCGCATTTTGTTTACATTTTGATCAGCTGCAAACATTCGCTCCATAAGCAAGTTTAAAAAAAATCTCGAAAATTAAAATAAATTACAACATCTTTAGAAAAATTAAGATTAAATAAAATCACTACTGAAAATTTCTATGAAGCAACTTAGAATGCTACTATAAAAACTAGAAAAGAAAACACACACGAAACCTTTATTCTTGTAAAGAGTACAATGAGGTTTTCTACTTCCTTGTACGAAGTAAGGGAAGTATTGTAATCGCGAAAAATTTCGGATATCATATTTCAACGAAAATATCCATTTTGACCTCTCTCTCTCTCTCTCTCTCTCTCTCTCGAATCCATTTGAACTTTTTTTTCGGGTGACATCTGTTCGTACAGGCAGAATAAATGAATCTTTTTCTCAAAATGGATTCAGAAGAGATTTTTTCGTGATGTCTGTACGTACATATGCAGGTATCTCGCATAACTCGAAAACGAGTGGCCTCAAAACGTTGAAATTTTGTATATGGGACATGTATAACATGTAGTTGTGCACCTCCCTTTTTATTTGCAATCGGCTGCATCAGAACTCTATGTATATCTACCCAGTCTGTTACCGGAGACGGGGAGTTTAGTTTTTTATTCTTATATCCTTGATTATATTTAATTTTTATTCTTATATCCTTGTAGATTGTGCGATTTTTGCTTTCGAAGTGACTCAGGGGGTTAAGGTTTTTATGACTTTATTTAATTTGCATGCAATAGTTGTAGAATTATCAATATTTTAAAAGTTGTTTAAGTGCTACTAAGCCTACTAAAGTCGCTATTTGTTTACATTTTCAACTCCTGTTTTGTTTGAAGATGTTTTGCGTTTTTATGTATTTTTGCCTCGTCACGAAGTGAGAACTGAATTAATTGAATGAGAAACTATATCTCTAATGAAATTCGAGGAAATAAGTTTAAATGAAGTGCGGCCAAAAATACGTATAATTTAAAGGACATATGAGGAATTCATGTGTGTCCACAATCAGATTTTTTTATATAGAGCGTATTTCCCTCATAGTACATTTAGAAATGATTGTATAATGTCTATATTATGTTTATATACAACGCGCATGATAGGCAACGCATTTCTAGATTGGCTGTTATTATAAAAATATTTAATGTGTATGTTATTTGTTACTTTAAATTAAAAAAAAAATATTTTAAAGAAACCTCTGGCGGGCCGGATTATTAGTGCTCGCGGGCCAGTTTTGGCCCTCGGGCCGTAGTTTGGAGACCCCTGCTCTAAAGGAAAAAAATAATGTATCAGTAAGAGAAGGAGTGCAGATTATAATAGTCTAAAAGAGCCTAAATTTTACTGGCTTCTTCTGGTAATTAGAAAAGGAAAATTGCATATATTGAAAGTAAAAGTGTAAGTTGTTAACCTGACGTCATGCTATTTTAATCTAAGGAAAATCCGAACATTTTGTCCTTGATCTACATACCACTTTGGAATGAATGTTATGTTACTCTGGATTATTCGATTTAGACTAGATTTCAGATCAGGTTAAAATCGCATAATTTATTTAAGTGACATCTATTCATTTTATAAAACTCGTTTGCATTCCGATTGTGAAGGTCAGCTTTAAATTTCTAACTGCCTTCTATTTTTTGTTTAAAAAATTGTTATTATTATTTTTTCCTTGTTTGCCTTTGTTTAAAATTTCTCAAGAAATATACCTGTTTTTGGTTTTTAAAGAACTGCAGTTTTTCTAGGAAAAGTTGTTTTTACAGATGTCATATCTTTCTTTAAATTGCATATATTTAGGATTGTAAACACGATTATAATTGCATAACACTAACAGACGAAAATACTTTTGCAGAATAAACAGCGAAAAAAAACAGAGGTAATAAATGAAACAATAAGTTATGCTAAACAGAAGCTTACAGGGAAAACTTACAGGGATTAAACCGATCTAAATTTAAATTAAGGCAAGATAGCAAAAAACGAAAAGTAATTTAATTTTGTTTAAAATTTTGAGGAAAATTATATTGAAAAATGTGATTACAATTGGCACAATACGTATTAAATTTTTGATTTCCGGAAAACCTAGAATTGACAGTTGTATGCTGATACATTTAATACAGAGTTTTCAAGGATAATTCCCGGAGTGATTGTTGCAGAACACTTAAGAATTTTGTAAAAAGTGGTAATGCAGAGCCTAAGCAGGTGTAATACTTATGTAGATTTCTTAAGACACGAAAAAAATTCCCAGGGTTTCCAAAAGTAAAAAAATTGAGAAATGCCGCCATAATATGAACTGTGCAGGTAAAAATCATAATAGATCAGTTTTTATTAAAACAAAGAGCTTACTAGTTGAAAAGTCTGGTAGTTCAACCTGTATTAAAATCCCGACGAATAGCTGGCTACATGGACGTTTTTGTTGTTTTCCCCATGCGTAACGTGTGTATGAGCCAGTTTTCCTCAGAAAGTTCTCGAAAGCATCTTTTCCAGTATTTGAACAGCCCTAGCTTGCTTTGCCGTAATCAAACAAACCAATCAAATCAAACCAAGTTGTCACAACCGATGTAAAAAGAGTACACTAAACAGAAATCAAAATAATAATAATAAATTCGAAATCCGCCCGCGTCATTGATATAAATTCTTGATTCCATGCATTTCCTGAGAGAAGATTTGATTATTTTTCTGGGTAAGGCAGTTTTATATAAGAAGAAAGACCAGCGATATCTTCCTTTTTTAAAATGCAAGAAGCCTTTACTCTAAAATCAGCGCTAATTAATACTTCAGTTTCGTTTAATTATGTATCTTGTATAATTAATAAATACTGTTTCATCAATTAGATCGATGAATAATAAATACGTTTATTTCACGAGTGAGTTGGTATTGATTTATTTTGTATTTCAGTTAGTATAGTTAATATTTTGTTTCATATTTCTGTAAATAATTAATATTTCATTTTTCTTTCAGTTGGGTTTAAGTGAAGTGAAGACATCATCAAAACTTGTCACACGAATAACTGCTCTTCCATATGGCGTAGATCCCAGTTATTTGCCCTACAAAATATATGTGGTATGATAATATTAATAACACTTTAAATGCATTTTTTACTAAGTAATGTATTATTTTGTCTAACGGGGTTTTAATTCCTATACGAAGTGTGCCTTCCAGGACTAGGCGAAGCTTCTCTAAAATAGTAAAACATCGACAGCGCCGTCTCCCCACTACGTGACCCCAGCCGTTTATTGATATTAACAAAACAGATACATTATTTGGAATGACACATAGTTTGGAATATAATACAAACATTTGGAGCATAATATATAAAATAACATAATAATAAATGTGCTAAATTTTGAATATAATACAAAAATTTTAAACATTTTCAAATTAACAGATTTTGCAAATGTACAGTTCAAATAGTTCATGTGTAAATATAGTTCATATTTCAAAACGTGCATGTATATAGTTCAAATAGTTCATGTGCGTAGTTCAGGTAGTTCTAATAAAGAGTTCAGATATATAAAAAAATTGAAGTTTCTAAAATATAAATAGTTCTAAAGTTTAAATAAATTGTAGTTTATCATACTGTTCAGAGTTTATCTGTAAAATAAAGTTCGAATAGTTCAAAGATAACGACTCTTAGTCAGTAGATTGGTATGTTAATGTGGTGTGTTAATAGTTCAGAATTGTAAACTCATAAAACGTTCCTAATAAAATACAAGAGTTCGTAATTGGTGGTAAATATATAAAGTAAAGTAGTATCTGTTGAAAGGTTCAAATTTATGGTAGATTCCACCATAAAATTGCTTAGAATATTTGTAAAATTTTAAAATCAAGATGATGTAGTAGTGCTGTGTTATGCTTGAACATCCAGCACTCTACTTAAGAACACACCACTCCTGTATTCAATATTACGATGATAAAGTTTTCATAAGATATTATGTTTGACAGAGGTCTAAACCAAGGTCGAATAACTTTTGCATAATTTTGGAAACTGAATTTGCAAGGTATTTTTTGGCGGGTCAGGAGTTTACAGAAAGCTTGGGTATTGGAAGATGGAATTGGGACGTGAGTGTTTTCAGTTAGTGTACAAATAGCAATGTAGTGTTTTGGAGTACCTATTTCGCTACAGCAGCAATGGCCAGTATGAGAAATGCCATGCTTTGTGAAGTAAACAGGGAAATTGGCCATGTCCAGAAATGGAACGAACCAAATGTGGATTGACTATTAAGCGGCTGCTATCGACATAAGAGAGGTGATAGTATGTTTCTTCTGCCAGTGGTATTATCATCCCATTCTTCTTGCCATATGCTGTGAGCTTTCAATTGGAGTTTTCGTTTTAGATATGATATTGGCCAGGGTATTTGGGAATATCGGCAAATGTCGATAAGCTATTTGTTTTAGTGTCGATAAGCTATTTGTTTTTATAATGGTGAGTTTCAGGCTATTGTGCTCGATATGAAGAAGTGCATGTTTTATTGCGGAAGCTTCGCCTTAAAAAACACTAGTGTTGGGGTGTAGATGTCCTTTCCATTCATGGAGGCAATGATTATTGTGGAAAACAACGAATGCAAAACCAACATTTTCATCGAGTTTGAAGCCATCTGTGTAAATAGTAATGTTCTATATGCTTTCGGGTATTTCTGTAAGACTTATGGATATGCCAAGACTCTGGAGTGCGGATGCGTATCATATGGATTGATTTTTTTTTCAAAGTTAGTTGGAGAAAAGCTATTATCATGAAATTTTGCTGGCATACGTAGGAGTGAAACAATTTGTGCTATTGCTTCTTGCTCCACTTTTATGTGGAGTGGTAGTAAGCCTGCAAAGACTTGGAGAGAGCTGTTGGAGGTAGTGCGATAAACTGGTTATATTTAAAATGAATGGTCTTTGAATACTTTGGAGATGCCTGATTTTACGTCCTTGCATAGGCTGAGCCCAAATAGCTGCAGCATATAGTATGACTATTTTTTCCGCGACTGTGGTATAAAAGATTTTTGAAGATATGGATTGATGCTCCTATTTCGTCCTTGCATAGATTTTAGATTTTTAGCTATTATATATGTGCTTTTTTTAAGATCCAAAATATGGTTAATCCAGTTGAATTTCTTGTCAAAAATGCCTCCAAGGTATTTTAAGTTTTAAACTATTTTAATACGATTTCCGTTAATGATAATACGAGGTTGTCGTGTAAGGGATCCGCCTTTCTTGGGAATCAATAGGATTTGAGATTTGTGATGGGCTATTTCAAGTTTGAGCTTAGAACATCGTTGGTATAAAAAGTGACAAACCTCATTTGAGTTTCGTTGTAATTCTTCACCCGTATTTCCTGAAACGAAGAGAGCTATATCATCTGCATATGCTAGAATTTTTGTATGACTGGGCCAGGTAGTTTTAAGTATATTGTTGAAAGTGATGTTCCCTAGTAAGGGTTCCGCACAGAAACCCCGCGGACAGCCTTTTCCTTGTTTGTTGTAAATAGTTCCATTATTATGAAGAAAATAAATATAAATGAAATATATAGAGATAAGAGTGTCCTGTTCTCACACTTCACTGAAATTCGGGGCTTTGAGACGGAAGAGGAAATGTAGACGATGAACTGCGTATCGGCCAATCAATTGACCATTGAAAACACGGACTTAATCGCTTTCTTAAACTGACAGGCATTAATTAATACAACTGACAGGTACAAATTCACTTCTTCAGGTCAAGCTATCAATAAAGAATACTATGCAGCAGTTTTGAACAGACTAGTGAAAAAAGTACGTTGTATATCGGAAGAAAGGTATCTGGTTTTCTCCCATGATAACATAGGATCACATACTGCTGTTTCACGAGCAGTGTCACGAACCCTGTTGTCACCAGCAGTCATATGTGTTCACGAACAACAGCTTGTAGAGATATACCACTCCAGAGCCAAATTAACTATTAAGCAAAATAAGTAACATGATTAGTATGTCAAGTGGGTACCACAAAAATTTCTGATTCACAGTTTTACCATGGAATGCATGATGCAGCTAAATCAAGACCGAGAGTAAAGAGATGAGGAGAATACTCGCGAAAATGTGAAGGCAACCAAAATCTTGTAAGGGCTTTTGGCTTCCAAAAATTTTGATCGAACCCAGAACCATCCTGTCTAATTAACACTATCAGTCTATTTTCTGTTTTCGAAACTGAGATCCATTGTAAAAAGGCATATAGATTTTCTGATACAGAGGCTACTAAAAAATCTAGTATATTGTTATAGCGGAATTTCGATGCACATTTTCAAATGACTATGAAATCTGTTTCAACAATTTGTACAGTCGTGCAGTAAAGTATGCAGATGCTGCATGTGATCATTTGGAAGAATATTAAATTTTAATTTTCATTGTTTGTTTTTTAGTAAACATGAGTCCTTGAACATGTTAGACACACCTTTTATAATCTGGTTTTAAAACTTCTCAGTATTTTAACCTTGTTTTTAAATTATTTCATTGTAGCATTAGCAAAGTATATTTGTGTGGGATAATAATAAACAAATAAACTCGGAACTTTCACTCTGATTTTAAACTGAAACTTAAAATATGGTGCAACATGTCTACTGAATAGTCAACTGAAAAGCAACTCTCGGTTTTGTAATGATTATGAAATGTGATTAGGAAGTTTCACTTAAGTACAGAAATCTGGTTAAGTAGAAAACAAATAAGTAGAGAATGGTAACGCCGTGTGAATTTTAATTAATTCAACAGAACAAATAAATACACTTTCCTTATTTTTGTTGTCACTTATAATTAGTACCAAATAGTATAAACGCTGCTCTGTACCTGCTGGTTATCTGGTACCCGCCGATAAACATGAATAAGGTAGTGGTGCCTTTAAGCAATAAAATCGAGTTTATTTTCGGAGGAATACTGTTTGGCAATTACATTTAAAATGACACCAATGAGACTGTTATTCTCCGTAGCTTGTTTTATCCTCCATGGAAATTTTAGTAAGTAAGAAGGTAAGTAATGACGAGCTGTACGACACTGATTCCTCTACACGTTCCATTATTTGCATGCCAATGTTCGTGTCAAGATCGAAGTTGACCCTGAAGTACAAAAAGCCATCCTCAGCTTCCACTAGCGCCCTCCTTTAAAAAACACTCCTTTTAGTAGAATTCAGAACAGTCTCTAGATTTACTGAAAATTCGCGAGAATCAGACTGACTTAATGATATTTTTGGATCAAGTCATCCATAATCGAAAACCCAACAGATATCACTGAACCCACCAAGTTATTGAACACTGTTTACTTCTACCTGGGTTCGATCCCAGACGAACTGTTTGTAACGTGGATACGAGCCAGTTTCCCTTAATCCTCCACGAAGAAATCCCTTCCCATAAACACATAGTCTGAGATACCAATGATTCAAATAGAATTCTCGATGCTGCATTATTATTGCAAAATATGCTATAAAAGTCATTTTCGCCAGTTACGACTGCATATTATTAGTAGTGCAAATCAATCTGCAGTAAAGATACTTATTGGTTATGCGGTTTTCGCCAATATATCACCACATAACTATTAATAACTATGATTCTTACAAGCATTCAGCAGGCCCAGAAGCTACTCCGGATTCTCCTCTTTTTTTGGGGGGAAGGAGAGGGGGGGCTGCTAAGAAAGGGTGAAAATGACTTCTTTATTATTTCGAAGTCAACTTTAATATCAACAAGCAGTGGGGGGATCAGCAAAATGAAGAAATGAATGACAACATAGTATAACTAGTCATCACTTGTCTTCTTATATTTATCAAAGCTCATACGGAAGCATACAAATTCTGCAGAGAATAACAGCCGTTTAATGTTACTTTTGAATGCGATTGTCAAACAACGTCTCCCGGGAATTAAAAGTATAGATTTCATGATCAAAAGATTATTCGCCGTCTATCGGTGGGAAGGGTATTTCCAGAAGGTACCGAATATTTTTTATATGTGAATGAAAAACATTTTATCTATTCTTAATCAAACTTTATAGGATATACTTACAGATTACTGCAAAATTGTCTTGCTTTCAGTACTAACGATAAGTTTTCTTCACTTCTTCGAAGGTTTCCACAAAAGTCAGTTTACTTGACGTTGCATTAGCACCGTATATGATTCCATGGTGGATTATCATCTTGGCTATTTGCTGCGGTTTGATCCTTCTTGGCCTTTTAGCTCTACTTCTGTGGAAGGTAAGTTAAAAAGCACTTTTTTTTTTTATTTTTTTTTTTAACATTTTTCAGCTCTATAGTGAAAGATTCTTTTAATTACCAAGGCTGTCAATCTAATCTGATAGCCAAGCAAGAATCAGAAATATATATTTCTATGTGTTGAGTAACTCTAAGGGTTACTGACAAACTTACTTGTAGAAAAATGTAGCAGTTTCGAATAGAACGCCATTTTCTTTCAAACGACCTGCAGTCAATAAAAGTCTTTCAAAATCCGGAATTGCAGTGTTAGTCATTTTGGTTTGCATGTTACATCCGTGGACTGTGAGCTTCAGCTTTTCGTATGTTACTTACATATTATCTTTACATCTGCTTACTATTCATAAGCTTAGAAGACAGTTAGTTCGTACTGTAACCACAGGGAGCCTCTTTGCACAAAACCATTACTCTCATAAGTTAATTTCTTATGTTCAGAAGCTGATTATGTAATGTAAGTGTTAATCATTTTAGATACAGTTTAAAAATACTCTTCCAGATATTTGTGATTTAAAACTGCAGTTGAAAAAAATTTAATATTTTTTTAATGTTAATATTTTTTAAGTCTGACAATTTCAAATTCTGTAAATGAGTACTTTTATGCGCTGAAAGAATAAAAGTCTTTTTCAGCTCTAATTTAAGGCAAAAGTCAACTTATTTACTTAATTTTAGTAGTTATTAAATGTAAATGAAATTTAAAATTTGATTCTGCAGATATTAAGTTCTTTTCAGAAAAGAAAATAGTAAATAGCTTCTTCAAAATTACTTTGTGAAACACAGTAGCAGTATTTGGTACAATAAAAATTCTATTTATTGAATTAGTCTAATAAAATATATAACGATTCATCTATTAGTGTATAATCATCGTACCGGAAGATTACTGAATCCAGTGTTCCAAATTGTCTTAATTGTGCCCAATTTATAATTACTCTTTCCATACCTTATAAGAGAGTGGAAGAAAAAAATTCTAATCAAAGAACCATTTGAGATTGGTGGTTTTAAACACAACAACCCAAAAGAATTATTCTGTTGCCAAGCAGAAAAGAAACATACCAGACAGTTTTAGTCATAACGGAAAAACACGCCAGTTTTTTTTAAGTTTCACTTTCGTTCGTTAAGCAGTCGCTTACAAACGCGTGGAACCTTGGCCTTGACAGTTTGCGGTAACTTCCAACATGGCCAAGGTTAAATTCGAAGGTCTATTTAAATAAATTCATCAAACCCCATTGTGAATAGCCGGGGAAAGTACTCAAAGCTCCTGAAGCGTATTAGCTTCCATTAAATGCGTACCCATGAAGGAAGTGGTTTGACATAATCTGAACTTAATTTATTTAATTAAAATATATGGTTTGCTTTCAGGTTGGCTGAGTTTTTTTTTTTTTTTTTTTTTTTTTTTTTTTTTTTTTTTCAGTAATGCTTTATTTAATGCAAATCTTCCAAATAAGTGCAATACGGAAAAAAAAAAAAAATTAACTAAATTACCTATTAAATACCCAGTGCAGAATGAAAGTACGGAAAGCGGGTTGTAGCTTGCAATAACAATTTAAAACTTCGCTTATCGAATCGGATTAGATTGGATTGTGACGGAGCACAGGAGGGCTATCTGCGTAAAAGAAAGGGTACCTTTGTGGAGGATGCTTCCGTATTTATATCAGCCGTCTCCGCTAACGGAAACTATTTAGAACAGAGCGACTTCGAGTGATATATTTTTCCGGATAAATTAAAAGTGGAAAATACATGCCTATAACATTAAGTCCCAATTTCACAACGTTCTCACAAAGGTACCGGCACCTTCATATAAGTAGGGTATTGTTCGTAAATTCTTAAACCTACAGAAGTGTGTTTCGACAGAAGGGCGCCCGCAATCTTAAGAATATAGTCGGTCTTTAAAACGATGTCGGCACCTTTATGCTCTGGCTTCGTATCACCTCCATGCGAATATGGTTATTTTTTGCTACTCTGATTAACTAAGCAAATAAAGATTCTGTTTACCTAATGGTGCTCCATATATCGAGGTATCTTTATGAAGTTTTCTATCTTTCAGAACACTGGCCGACTTACATGAAATAGATTGACCTTTTTTTAACAATGTCCCATTATGAAAGCGTCGCTGTTTCATTACGTTTTTATGCCGACATTTAAAATAATGAATTCTTCCCCCCTCTTTGCCAGTTTGATTTGGCTCTTCAGCACAGGATATCATGCGATGTGTTCTTATCACTTCATTTTTATAAAGAATGGATAAGATTCACGTACCATTTTCGATAATAATGTTGTTTTTGACTTACAAAATGCTATTGAAAAAAATCACAATAAAGATGTAGCTTTAATATATAAATTTTTATAAAAATGAAAAATTAAAAAAAAAAGTTTAAAATGCCTTAATACTCTTAATATATCTGGTTTTGAAATAACTGGAGATGATTGATTTTAGTATTTCCCGATATGTTATTTTTTCTGCTTTACACATTTTATACACCATTTTTTTCATCTCATTATTCCTTTCCTTTTTAACGCCTATATATACTAATATTTATAAATATATCCAAAGTTTATTAGGCTTTTCGAAGCAAGAAATAGAAAAAATCAATTATGCTTTTTCTGGGACTCGAACTCCAGATTTCCCTACTGCTAACCGGACATGCTACCATTTACACCAAAAAGACACACAGTGAGGAAGAAGAAAATTTCTTATACCCATACAACACATAAATTTAAATAACAATAACTATATTAATTACAAATATTTTGCTAATATTAAAGCCGCATTTATAAAAAAATGAATTTAATAATAGAATATTCGGGTGGCAAAAGAAATTTGGAAATTCTTATTCTAAACATTATTACGGTTCTGAATGAATATGTTTCAATGTTGATCCATTTCGCGCAAATTTAGTTCAGCTAACAAATGGAAACAAATGCGGAAATGCATTACTATAAATTAAATAAATAAAATGAACTTTTGTAAGTAATATATATTACATCTATCTCGCTAACTTAAAGTGCCAAACTATAACTAATGCAAACCAAAGTACGTAAATTTTAAAATTAAAGTAACGTAAATTTTTTCTTTTATGAAATGTACACTTATTAATGCAACTAAACTTCCGCAAGCTGAAATTGTTTTCAAAGGCGTCGAACTGCAACAAATACTTTATTACGTTTTAACGCCTTAAATCTTTCAATATCAGAAATGAACAAAATATTTTGTTGTAAAAAAAAAAAAAAAAAAAAAAAAAAAAAAATCTGAAATGTTTTAGATTTTAAATTACGTCCAAAGGGGCGTTTTTTAACATTTTGTGTGTTACCTTTCTTTATTAAATATCATGTTCCTCGCACTTAAACCATAAGATCCAGTGCAACAGCAATATCGCAAAATAGTTTTAAAACGAGCATATCTTTAGAATTTCCGATACAGAGACTCACGCGCTGGAGATAAAATGTTTTTCTGCACAACGTTGCCATTGCTCGCTTTGAAATCCTTGAGTTTGTTAATCAAAAATTCGTCAAAGTTTTAAAAATAGGAAATCGATCATAAAACAAATTTCAAATTTCAAATTTGGTCTTCCACATGCTCATATTCGTTGGAGGATTACGTTATTCAAAATTCGACGACTCTATGTACCGTTATTTTATGACAATGTGAGAAATATACATACATTTACGCAGATTTTCATTATTTAATTTCTTCAAATATAATGCAGGACTCTAACATTTTATGGCAACAGTTTGAAAAGTGAACCGACATTTATCCGTCCAAACGCAAAATGCCAAAACGAAACTAATAGTCCTTCGGGATTCAAATCACTTTGGACTAAAAAAAAAAAAAAAAAAAAAAAAAAAAAAAAAAAAAAAAAACGAAAACGGTTAGTTTGATAATTTAAAAGCTTAAATTATAATGCTCTTATTATACTTTTCAGCTTGGATTCTTCAAGCGCAAAAGGCCCCAAGAAGTTCCAGAAAAAGAACCATTGAATGAAAGAAATGGATATCGTATGACAAGTGGGGATGCTGCTTTGTGATGAACTTAATTTTTTAGGCTATCATGTTGAACTGACTGACGTGATATTAGACTTAAAGTCATTAAACAGTCTTTTATAACAAATTAATAGCATTTTCTTTGTGATTGCGAAACTTTGATATTTGCATCATCTTGCAATATAACTTCCTGATGACGTCATCATTATTGTAAAATGAGACAATAATTATGAGAAGACATTCAGAGGAAAATTTCAAAGTGTAAAGGGATAATTAAAGTGTTTATCTCCTAAAAAGACCTGAAAACAGAACGAAAATTTGAGGAAACACAGAATATATAAACTTTTCTATGTCTTCCTTGCAAAATCCAGAATTATATTCTTCCATATATGAATACGCTATGAAGAAAATGAATGTCCTCAGCGAACGACAAATTAAAAACCTCTGCAGACATCCAGTTTACTTCTATATAGCTACAGGAAAATAAATATGCATTTTATTCAGAATATAGACACAGTAAAATTTAAATTTACTGAAAATTTAAATTGATTTCACTAATGCTAACTCGCAATTATAATTTATAAACTTTATATGGAAGACGCACAATTGTGCTTCGCAGTAAACTCAAAAGTTGTCATACAGCTTTTGGCATTAGGGACTTCTTACTGAAATGCATTATTTATTATTTTATGAAACTCACATCAAAGTTTACAGAATTCTTTGAAAAGTGCCTTAATTTAGAGTGTGTACAAAGTTACAGAACATTTTCGATATGGCAGTTACAGACGCTGCACTTTACTTGTGCTTCTTCAAATAATGTGAACTAATATTTTAATTTCAACTTTAATTTATGGATTTTTTTTTCTTCTTTTTTACAATATCAAATTGTATAAACATTTTATCTTGTGTTAAACTGAAGTAAAAGTTTTGAGCCATGTATTTTTAGAAAATGATTTTTATTTAAACACTGGAAAACATCTTTTTGACACCCCGCCACATATAAAATCCTGAGTTGAATCTTTATAAGCAAAAAACAAGCATTTTGCTTTAATTTACCGTTTACTTGGAATTTTGTTTTTTAAATTTCAATAACTTATTTGTTTCAATTACTGTTTCATTCAAACTAGTTTTTCAAATATTTTTTTAGTATGACATAATTTGCTATTATTTTACTGTTTATGTACTTTAGTATTATCGCAACCATGCTCGCGCAATTTGGTGATTTTTTGAAGAAGGAAAAGAATGGTAATTTCAAACTGGAGAAAATTATTTATTTCATATCATACATGTTATTAGGTACATATTTTAATTTTAGTTCGATATTTAACCCGGGAAACAATTTATAAAGCTACTTAAAAATGGTGTCTCCCCCATGTAATTATTCCAGTCTACCACAGTCTTAACGGCCATTTCTAATTCTTCCCAAACAAAATTTAACACTTGTTAATTCTTTATTCCAGCAGAATATAAATCTGGATACTATAGTAAATATATTTGGCAGACGACTATTCTCGAACCAATTACCGCTTCTAATGCCAGCGTGTTCGTTACGCTTTTTTCACGTTATATTTCCAGAATGGGTTGTTTTCTAGAATACGTTACCATCAAATGCGAATTTGAAAAGTTCCGCCTTTGTGGCAAAATATTATATTCCTGCAAAATTTCACAGAACTTTCTTCATTTGCTGGTAAATCCCACGAGCGTGCATTTCAAAATTCAGTTGAAGACCAAAAATGTCGCAATTTGCCTTTAGAGCATGTTATTCAACCAAAACAGCATACACGAAAATGCGACTCTACTTATTCAAACTTACAACTATCGATATCGTTACGCGAAAAATTGTTATGCGCATGATTGCCGCAGTTTGGCGACTTCTATCAAGGTGGTTGCGATAATACCAAAGTAGCAATATTTATTATTAATATAATTTACGAGAGCATTTGTTTTTCTTTTAGATATTTAGATTTCGGGTGGGAGTTAAATAAACTGGAAATTCAGAATAAAATTACTCAGCAGTCACTTGACAGTATGCAAAAACTAGGTTTGTAAACGAGCAATACAATTAAATTTATCAATAAAAGTGCGTATATCAGTTCGGTATGTAAGTGCTTTGACATAGAGAACATGATAAAAAACAGGTACTTACGTATTTTCTTAACCACTTTAGTAGATGTCGCCAAATTTTCAGAATGAGTCAAGCTTTGGCAACCTTGCTCATAACCATGCTTCAGGTAACCATGCTCATAACAGTTCTTCAGTTAAGCAACGCCTTCATTCTCGTATGCGTTCTCTTCGTTGTATTCCCGATTCATCGATTTTTATTGATAAATCGCGATAATTTTTATCTTAAAATATGTGCTTGGGAAATTCGCGAGCAATGTGAAAAGGGTGCGATAAAATTTCTGCACGTATTTTTGCAGCAAAATCGCTAAGAGAACAATGTTGACATGCACTTCTGCCCCCCCCTTTTTTTTTTGAGCGAAAATAGATGTTTAGGCCCACAGGGAGGAGAGTGCGAAAGATAGTAGAAAAATTCCACGAAAAAAAATTTTTTTAATGTATCATATAATCCTTATTTAATGATTCAATTTTGTATTTTAAATTGAAGTGTGATTTCTTTTCATATGTTGATAATGTTTTCGGAATTACGATAAATATCGATAGTTTGGGAATGTTTTTTAAAAAAAAATGTCGCGAAAATTGTCAGCTTGCACCTGACAAGTAACTTTTACTTTGTAAACAACCCCAAATGCGCCAAAGTGGTTTTGGCGTAATTACCAAAAAATATAATATAAAAAATCGCAATCCAGAAACTTCAGGTTGTGGAAATATAGAACTACAAAAGCTTAACTCTACGCGTATACACAGGTGTTAAATGCATTTATATTTCCAATCACACCTGATAATCATAAACTTGCGTTTTCACATTTTCAAGCATAGGTGTTTAAAATCTGATCTTGAGCTTCCTTGAATTTATGGAAAGAAAATATGACCATCTAGTGCTAATATTCGAAGGGAGATCTTAAACATTAAAAATGAATTTTTCAAAATGAAAAAAAAAAAAAAAAAATGCCATTAAGCTTACTGCACTGGAGCTTTACAGAGAAATTCTGAAGATGATGTGTTGCAAGGAAAACAACTATACACGCGTTTCTAATATAACTAATTTGTAAATAAACATATTATAAAGTGAAGAAAAAGAAATTAATGGTTTGTGCTAAACTTAATCCAGTTTCTAGTGATACTTTATCACCACAACCAGATTCGGAACTAGGTTTCGTTACAGAAATACCTACATTTAAGCTTTAAATTGCATTCTTCTTATCATTTGTAAATTTAAGTACTATATGCAGGAAGAAACATTAAAACCTATCACATGTATGTGTAATTATGTAAGACATATAGTACTCTTATTCATGATAGAACAGGGTGATAAATATGCATCCTGTTGCCACTGTGTTTAAAGATTGCAAATGATAACTACATATATATTAGACTTCTAAAACATTTTATAGCAATATGAATATATATTTATAATTATGAAGCGTAAAATTCAGATTTATGCGTGCTCAGATTTTAAGTTCAATTAATATTACTTAACGTCATCATTCATAAACACTAGTATTACGTATACCAATAGAAAAATTGTTAATTTGACAGCTGACTGCGGAAAACAGATTTCAGGTATATTTCTATTAAGTCCCTTTTAGAATAAGAGAATATATTAGAGTAATTAATTCTATTATCTAACAGAAAATAAAGATAGCGGCGGCTATCTACCTAAGACGACACTTTTGAAGGATACCGGAATTTCTTAAAATAAACATTGATACTAAGAACCACCCGTAGATGGGGCGTTTAAAGAAGATTCATTCAACCTTTAACTACACATGTACATTAATCTTAATTATACATATGTTAGATTTTTATTTTCTGTTACAGCACCTTAATTCTATTGCTTTTAAAATACATAAAACTTTAAAAAAAATTGTGCATTATCGCTAAATCGTAACTAGATTCAGACATGCGTATTTTGAACATGCCTAAAATTCATTATTCTGCTCGGAATAAATTGTCTAAAATATTTAATAAACAATATTACAAATCGAAGTTAAGATAGATCAAAATAGTAATGTCTGCCTCTTCTAAATTGTTTTAGTTGACGAAATCAGGTGCTCAGGTCATTAAAAAATGATTTTCTGAAGAGGAAATGAAATTGGAAAGAGAAAATCGATGGCGAAATCAACGGATGAATCGGCACTATTTTGAGCTGAGGATAAATCGGAAGAAGCGAAACGGCACTAAGCCTTCTCGTCGGCGAGAGCGTTGTCCAGGGTGCGCTGCAGCGACTGCCGAATTACACCTATAAGAAAATAGGAGCTACGACACAGTTTTGATGAAGAACTTCCCGGGAGATGGATCCCATAATCTACCACCACTCCCTAGATTCTACAGTATTTTATAAGTGCTTCCATACTGTAAAGGCGCTATATATTTGCATGCATTCTCTGGGATTAGAACCCAGGTCCAAGGCTATGTAGTTAGCTTCCTACCACTACTCTGAAATTTCGCACAGAAGAATAAATTTCGCTTCTAATAAACTTACTGATGTTTCAGACGTCATTTCCTGAGAGGATATACCTGCTGAAGACGCTTTAAAGCAAAACTGGGAGTTTATACTCCAGTTAAGAGCTTATTACAATATTTAATATACTATTTCCCCAAATCTTCAGTTTTTTGGGCCGATCTGCCTTCTTTCTACTTTAGGTAAAATATGTGAAAAACTTATCTGTCGATAAGATTTTTTAGAATTAAGTATCATATTACAAAATCAAGCTTTCAAATGATCATCAATATGGATTTCGTATCGGATATCCGACTTTACAATACATTAATAAGATAAAACAAGTAGTTTATAAAAACTGAAAAGCAGGATTCCATTACAGCTGTTTTAAGCCTAGACATTAAAAGTACGTTTGATATGCTTTGATGGCCAGCAATAATAAAAAAATTTAAAAGAGTACAATGCCCTTTAAATTTACTTGAAGTTAACATCAACTGCCTAGAAGACCGTGAATCCAGAAGGTATTTATACATTCTTAGCATGAGATAAAGAATTTTTTAAAAAGCAAATAATTTGAAATAAGAATTTCTGGCAACAGCATGTTATTTGAAATGAAAAATATTGTCTGCCACTTTTAACATTGTAACTTCTAAATTCATTCTTCTTTCAAAATTTTGAATGTAAACAAGCTGTGGATTTAAGGATATATTTTTGCGCTTTCTGAAGAGCAATATTCCTATTCCATAGTTCAAAAGCGTTGTGAAATGCCCGGTATTAAAATGTTTAAGTGCAGAATGGTCAACATTATTAATCGGAAAGCAAAAAACCGTCAGTCGTTACTTCTACGTGGAACGACGTCTCCAAACGAATACTCGAAAAAGGTATGTGCTATTTCTAATATTTCTGAAGTTAAATAGTTGTTAATAACAGAAAAAACCCGCCGACACATAAATCAATTGCAAATTCTCTAAATACATCTCTAGCAACAATAAGTAAAATAACACACCAAGACTTACAGTTTAAAAATGCTAAAAAACGAATTTTCACAAGCTTTTGCGAAGGCATTTGGCTGGACATACAACAGTATGTAGAACTTTGTTGAAAACTCTTTAGCAGAAGATAAATGAAAACAGATTGTGATCCTTGATGGAGCATGGATTTACCTAAATGACTGCAACAAAAAAAGGGGGGTCTATCTATTATCGAAAACGAAGAGAAAAAAGTGTACAAACCTGGTTTCTGAATTCAAAGAACGTTTCAATGAGTGGTTTATGATTATCTCAGAATTCGCGTACAACAGGAAATTAAAAATAAGAAGAGTGGAAAAAAATGTTACAATCAACTCAACGTACTATTAATAGAAAGTTTTACGTCC